TAGGGTATTTTGTATTCACTGTGGAAATAAGGAGGGTTTTGTTTTGTTTTGTTTCATTTTAACATGATAGTAGCTCTAAAGGAAGACAGTTATATTCTCAAAATATCACCATTTTCAAATTTTATCTAAACAGAAGTTGTTTCTTAGCTACTACTATGCTTAAATTGCTGGGTGACTTAAGATTTCTGCTGAGAAAAATTTGAGAGCTCTTGTGAAGAATCTTTGATTTAGCAATCTCTTGCTCAAGAGGCTTTCTTGGGAGCCAGTAGGGTTCACTAACTGTGTTTACTCAGATGAAAGATCAGTGAATCCCCCATCAGGAAACTTGTGTTAACTGAGCTCACAGAATGATACTTGATAATCTTGTGTACCCTTGTATTTATTTATGGTAGGCTGATTTAGATTGGGAGCTTTGCATTGGAAAACAGCACATTCTGTCTTCTGCCCTCCAAGTTACAATAGCAACTAATTTGAGACTTACAGTTATTCAAATATCTGAAATTTGATTGCTGTAAACCAGATTAGAAGTGAGCTTGTTTTGTAAGAGAAGTTTGCCTTTGTAGTTGAGATGATCTTGCCAGTGGGTCTGGAATGCTCAGTGTCTGATTGACCATGCATCCATTTTTTTATTCCACAATGACAGTTTGGGCAAAGCCAGCTTTTGCTTCTGTGACTCCTTTTTTTCTAGTCCATATAATTTTACTAGTATCTATTTTCGCCTGACAGGTTCTTTAGAATAGGCTGATAAGCAAGGTACATTGAAGGTTGTATGGCTAGGAGTAATTCTGTTTTTCATAAAGGTGAGTTTACCCATTCACTGTGATCCTTTAACCCCAAAGGAAATTCTGAGGGCTAATTTCCCTTATTTCCAACTTTTGGGAGGAAGCCGCACTTAAAACCTGTTTAGTAGTTGGTTTGATTTGCCTGTTGTTTAATAATGAGTACATTCTTACTTTTAAGGTGTGTTTTTCCAGCAGCTTCATTTGGTTTGGCAAACTTAACCTGACTCATTTGTTGTCTGCAATGATTAGGATTTTGTTTTCTGAATATACTCAGAACCCCCAAGGACTATTGAATAGGATGTTTGCTGATAGAAAATCCAAAATCGGAACGTGTGTGTGTGGCATGAATTTGATTAGTTACTGAATTTCAGTGCAGTATCTGTTACGAGAAATTATTAATAAAATTTGTTTATTGAAAATGTAAATCCAAGATTCTAATATGTGTTGTTAATGTGAATCAGAAGTAACTTTCAGGCCCTAGGAAATACAGGAAATAAGGTCTTAATGTGTTTCTCTTTATCTGAGTAACTTCATAAATCTTCACGGAGTGTGGCCTTTGAGTTCATTCAGGTTGTCTGTATTCCACTCAGACTCACCACTTGGTAGCTGATGTTCTTAGGTGAATTACTTGACTGTGCCTTGATTATCTTACCTGCAAAATGTACATGTTCATAGGGTTGTGAGGTTTAAGGTTTGAACGATCAGGGAAGGCTAAATAGAATAGATGGCATTAACGAGATTCTTGATAGAGGTATACTCTAGCTATTAGAGGACATGATGAAACCCAGTCCAGGTGCATTAAACTTGGGTGTGTATTAAACTGCATGCCTACTGTTTTCCAGAATTTAAGTTGTTCATTCTAATTCATACTTTGGGATTTTCTTGGTTAAACTGTTGCATCACCTCCCCAAAAAGCAAAGAGAAATTGCGATTATCTGAAAGGGGAATTATTCATGAAAAAATATTTAATCATAAACTGCTTTATTATTGCTGCTCTCCAACCCCTTGCCTTCACCGATTTGCCCGTACCTTCCACTTGAAAGAAAATTGAAGCCATGCAGTGGCTTTAATAAAATAAAATTAGGATAGAAAAGTTGCTTTCTCTAAAATGCATCTTAAGCCTAAATGTAAAATAAATGTTTTGAAATCAATTACAAGAGAGTTGTCTTCATCTTCTGTTGATAACACCAATAAGGGCGTGTTGTGTTAGCAAATAATCTCATGAGTTTTATTTAGGAACATTACAAGGTCTGTCAGTTCCACTTAATCAAAGTTAGTAATTCTGTTTTGTAATTCATCCTACTCCCTTGTTTCTTCCCTCTTTTTTTGCCCTGCTATTCTCAATATAATGGAAATAATTGCACATTTTTGTTTTAGCTCTGCTGCATGAACTGCCTTGTTCCCTCTCCCCAGTCGTACCTCCCAAAGCAGTGGAGAGCCTCACTGATGAAAGGGTTTTTACCTTTATTGCCATAGAAGTTAAGAGCTTTTAGACCTTACAGGTGTCAGGGCATACACCCCAGATTAATTTTTGGTTCTGGTTTTGTTTTAGTCTTTCAAGTTATAATCCATTAAGAGCAATTACTCTACGGATGAATTCAACCATAGTTTTTCCAAGGTGTGAGAAGTGATTGCAGTAGGACAAAGTATTTGATCCTTTCTTCACAATTGTTTGCTAGTGGAAAGAGTTTTCCACTTTTTCTCTTGTTAATTGATCACCAGTGAAGGTAGGGACTGCCTACATTGGGTACTTCAGTGTTGACAATTTCCTGAAAAGCTCTTTTAAATGCAAGTTTCTACATAGTGGCTTCAAGCTGAATTAACACTGGCAAGTGCAACACGTAGGAGAAATAAAGATGAACTGGTAGGGAATGGAGGGTTTTGACTGCTCATTGAGCAGATTTAGAGGTTTTTTATCTTGGAGCTCTTCTTTCCAGTATAGAACGGACTGCTGTAGCAGTCATGCTGGAGGAGGTGGGTGATGGAGTCTTGTACACCCTAATCCCATACTCCAGAGCTTGCTTTTTTCCACTCTGGCAGCTCTCTTCACCCAGCCACTGAGAAATGTCTGCCATACAAAGTCTAAAGTGGGTTCAAGTTAGGGAAGTGCTGTAGCGTTGTAACTACTGTGGGGAGTTAGATTTCCTTTGGTGGAGCATACAGGCAGATTCAGTACATAATGAAGTGTACCTTTGAATATAATTAAAAACAGGCATTGCGTGGGGTAAAAAGGGAGCTGCTGTTAAGTGAAAAAAGAAAAACTTTTCACACCATTCATTAATCAAAGTCACTAACCGGACTGGTGGAATTTAATAAGCGTCCCAGTGGGGTTTTGTTTGGGTAAAACCTAACAATGTAATTTTACTTATAAAGCACACATCTGAGAGGCAGGAGGCTGTAAAGTCACACAAATTACTGAGTGATGGTCCCAACTTCCACCTACCGGTCAGAAGGCCTTAAGAAAGTCACTTAGCTCTCAACCCTATCACTCATTAATAAAATGAGAGTAATACTACCAACCTAAACAAGAGAATTAAATGAGGTGCTTTTTATATTACAAGCTCAGTAAATGCTAGTACTTCCAGCCACCACTTATCTGCATTCCCCATCCCCTCTCAGATGCTCCTCCTCCCAAAGGAAGATAAAAAGGGAGCAAACAGCTGGGCAATGATAAGAGCAGAATTCCTGCCTGTTCTGTCTTAACACAATGAATAACAAAACAACTGACCTCTGTTGTTTTGTCAAGGGTCACCTACTTAAAACAAAATTTTTGAAGGTTCTGTTTAATGTTCCAAAGTTGTGTTCAGTATTCTATAGACAGAAGAGGGTTAGAGTTGTTAACACCAACCTCATGTGTCCATTGCTGCGATACCTATGTGTAGAATATGCTGTTTTCCCTACCCTTTCCCATAGGTAGTTTCTCTGCTCCTAAATCAGATAAAACTACCCAGATTTTAGGGTCGCCTGGGTGGCTCAGTTGTTATGCATCTTCTTTCAGCTCAGGTAATGATCCCAGGGTCTTGGGATCGAGCCACCTCGGGCTCCCTGCTTGCTTCCTCTCTCACTCTCCATGAGTGTGTTCCCTCTCTCGCTGTATCTCTCTTATCAAATAAACAAAATCTTAAAAAAAAGAAAGAAAAACTACCCAGATTTTAAAGGATGCTTAAGAGTCCAACTAAAATTTTTTAAAAAGCACTTTAATAAAATGATACTTCATTTTGTCAGGTTATGCTGATACACAAGTAAATGAGGGATGTATCTCTTAAGTTACCAACAAATATGAGAAAAAGAACTGTACTTATTGGAGACAAGGAAGGTACATCCACAAAGATGTATCTAAAAATGTTGGCTAAAGTAAAATCTTTTATCTCAGTTTGACTACATTTCAGTTATTTCTCAAAAACTTACGAAGAACCAGCTTGATTTTGACAAAGTCTGACAACCAGTGTTGGAATACACCTGAAGTTAATTTGTAATTGTGCCACTTTTGAAATGATAGTGGCCAATAAAAAGATTCTATAGAAATAGCTCAAAACAATAGATGTCAGTGAAATTTCGATGAGTGGAGTCAGGGCAGTAGAAACCTTATCAACAATGCTGCTTCTACCAACATAAAACAAGGCCTTGTAATAATTCTGACAATTTGTCCACTTTCTGGTGAGGTTTTTCAATGTTCTAGAAATGGAAATGATGATTGATTTCAGGGGTACCTGGGTGACTCAGTCAATTGGGCAGCTGGCTTGATTTTGGTTCAGGTCATGATCTCAGAATCCTGGTATTGGGCTTCAGTTCCACTCCCCTTGATCAGATCTAGCTTTTGTCATACTAGCAGGCTTAGGTTTATGTAGTTCTAGATGTGCCATGACCTAATTCACCCTACAAATAAGTGAAAGCTTCAAGTCATACTATAAATTACAGGGAGAGCAGCCTGAGGCGTATGGAGTCACCTTGAACAATGCAGGTTCTTGTAGGTAGAAACTTTGGAGTTAGGGGACCCTCTAATGAAATGCCAAGGCCCTTAGCTCTTCCTGTTAACTTTGAGGCTCCTGTAGTCTGCCAGATTAAAATTGCTGCCAAAGTAAACAACCTAGCATCTCTCTCGTTTTTCATTTCTCACCTTTCTGTAGTTTCCCTTCCAAGAAATAAAAGTTTTTACCCACCAAGTCGAAACAAACAATTTTCTTTTTGTTTTTACAATTTATTTTAAGTTAAGGACATTGAAGTTGACAAGCCAAAAAGAAAAGGTAAAATCCTATATAGCAATAGAAGTGGTAATTCCTGGACAGTCAAGCTGTAAACACTGGAATAGGTTTTTTGTTGTTACCGATGAAGAAAATTTTTCCATATACATGTGTAACCATGCCTGAAGCGTGAAGAGACTAATAGGTAACAAACTTTTTAGTTAGCAACACTGCAGGATCTGGTTAAATTGGGTTGATGGGACTTAACAGTAAGAAAACAAAGGTCCCTTAACCATGATTCCCACAATGAAGCAATCACAGAGTGCCTATAAAGGAACTGGAGGGAGAAGTTGATGTACGTTCAGTGATTTCTCTTTAAGAAGGAGTGCTTCAGGAGCTGGGCAGCAGAAGGTCGCTCATGCTGGTCCCTAAGAAGGGAAAAACAATTTAGAAACAGCACCCCATAAGTGCCTCCCAACTGGATGTACTTGACTCAAAATGCCAACTTTAAAAATGGAAGTAGAAAGGCACATGGGTAGTTCAGTTGGTTAAATAACTAACTTGATTTTGGCTCAGGTCATGATCTCAGGGTCCTGGGACTGAGCCCTGGGTCAGACTCTGCGCTTAGTGGGGAGTTTGCTTGAGGATTCTCTCTCTCCCTCTCCCTCTGCCCCTCCCCACTCCCACCACTTGTGTGCACATTCCTTCTCTAAAATAAATATTTTTAAAATTTTTTAAAAATAAAAATGGGTGAAAAAAATAAAAATAAAAAAATAAATAAATAAAAATGGGTGTACAATCTTGGCCAAACAGATTTGAGTCCACCCTTAAGATTTTAGCTGTGTGAGCTTAGGTCAGGGACACAAATTCATCAGTAAAACAGGGATAACAGTAACACCTAACTCACTGGGAGAATTAAATACCGTATAAACGGGTTTTAAACAGTGTCTGGCACATAGTGATAGTCCAAAAAGTAGTCGCTATTGTGATTAAAAACTGGGTATTGCTTTCCAGTTGTACTTCTTTGTTCAGTTTGAGGTGTAATTTATACACAGTAAAGGCCACATTTTCAGATGTACAGTTTAAAGCACTTTTAACTAGCATTAAATTTACTTCTAAAATTTAGAGGCATTGGAATCCAGAATTGAAAAGCCTGTAAGGGGGTGCCTATGCCTGTGCTCATGCTCGCTCTCTCTCTCTCTCTTTCTCAAATAAGTAAATAAAAACTTAAAAAAAAAAACAAGTAGACATTCAAATGTGTTTTGGTGATTAATTGAAATAATTCCACTTGGGGCACTCAGGTGAGCATAAAATAACAGGAGACATATATTTAGTACTATTTTGGTTTAGGTTATTTTTCCTCAAATTAAACTTTTGCCAATAAACTAGTCAATGAAGCAGTGAACCAGTTGATAGTTACCTGCAATGATCTATTCCAGAGACATTATTTTGGCTAAAGTGGCTATCTTTTGATAATGTGGGTGCCAGGGAGCAGGGCAGGTGTTGGGGGACAGTTGCAGGGGATAACTACCAAGAATAGCCCAGGTGGAAATGATCATAAAAATAAAGGGACCATAAATTATTTTGAAACAAAACCTCCCCTTCTGGAGGCCCTTTCTCCTGTCTTCAAAATATGCAGAAATCTCTCCTCTCCAAAAATCCTTTCCTTAATATAGCCAAACCTAGTGACTTTTTTTTCAATGTTCATTATCCCAAATCCTTACCTTTTGGCCCATTCCTCTCTATAGAAATTCCCCTCGTATAATTAACCATAATCTTCTCATTGCCAAATGTGATGAGTTCATCCTACTTGTCATCTCGGCAGTAGCATTTGAAGCGTTCACTACCCCCTCCTTTCAAAACAATCTCTTCATAGACTTGGAAGAAACTTTTCTTGGTTCTTTTCCCACCTTGGGACAACTCCCCTCCCTCCTTCCGTCCTTTCCTTTGCCATGTGCTAGACTTGATGCTATGTCTGTTGTTACTTCTCCTCTGAGCATTTTCAAAAACATTTTCCTCAACGCTCTTAAGTTGTTAACAACTATAGCCACTGAACTTTGGGTTTCTAAAATGTTCCTCCAATCTCATTTGCTTTCCTGAGCTTTCCCATAGCTTTGAAAGTTTCCTTAAATGGTGGGCCCCCTCTGCTTGACTTATTTCACTCAGCATAATCTCCTCCAGTCCCATCCATGTTGATACAAAAAGTTGGGTATTCATCCTTTCTGATGGAGGGATAATACTCCATTGTATATATGGACCATTTCTTCTTTATCCATTTGTCTGTTGAAGGACATCTTGGTTCTTTCCACAGTTTGGCAGCTGTGGCCATTGCTGCTATGAACACTGGAGTACAGGTGGCCTTTCTTTTCACTACATCTGTATCTTTGGGGTAAATACCCAGTAGTGCAATTGCAGGGTCATAGGGTAGTTCTATTTTTAATTTCTTAAGGAATCTCTACACTGCTTTCCAAAGTGGCTGCACCAACTTGCATTCCCACCAAAAGTGTAAGAGGGTTCCCCTTTCTCCACTTCCTCTCCAACACTTGCTGTTTACTGTCTTGTTGATTTTGGCCATTCTAACTGGTGCAAGGTGGTGTCTCAATGTGGTTTTGATTTGAATCTCCCTGATGGCTAATGATGATGAACATTTTTTCATGTGTCTGTTAGCCATTTGTATGCCTTCTTTGGAGAAATGTCTGTACATGTCTTCTGCCCATTTTTTGACGTGATTATCTGTTTTGTGTGTGTTGAGTTTGAGGAGTTCTTTATAGATCTTGGATATCAGCCCTTTGTCTGTAGTGTCATTTGCGAATATCTTCTCCCATTCCGTGGGTTGCCTCTTTGTTTTGTTGACTGTTTCCTTTGCTGTGCAGAAACTTTTGATCTTGATGAAGTTCTAAAAGTTCATTTTCGCTTTTGTTTGCTTTGCCTTTGGGGACATGTCTTGAAAGAAGCTGCTGTGGCCAGTGTCGAAGAGGTTACTGCCTATGTTCTCCTCTGTGATTTTGATAGATTCCTGCCTCACGTTGAGGTCTTTAGAGTCAATTATCATATGGTTTCACTTACTTGTGGAGCATAAATGATAACACAGAGGACATTGGGAGATGGAAAGGAGAAGTGAGTTGGGGGAAACGGGAAGGGGACACAAACCATGAGAGACTGTGGACTCTGAGAAACAAACTGAGGGTTTTTGAGGGGAAGGGGGTGGGAGTTGGGGGAGCCTGGTGGTCGGTATTAAGGAGGGCACGTATTGCATGGAGCACTGGGTGTGGTGCATAAACAATGAATTTTGAAACACACAAAAAAAGTGTTTAAAAAAGTAAATTTTAAAAAGAAGGTAAGGGAAAAAAATTAAAAATTTTTAAAAATGGTGGGCCCTCTTAAATTCCCTCCCTTGCTCCTCTTTCAAAACTTTCTATTATTTCTTCCATTATGCATACTCAAAACCATGCAGTCCTATCATGCCCCCATCACCAAGTGCTGATTCACCTTCCCCTGGAATGTTTAGGAACCCTTCTCTTGACAGTCCCACTGCTTCCACCACCATCCAAGTCCAAGCTCTGGATTCCTGCTTGGCTTTCTAGTCTGACCAGCCTCCATTTGAAGTCCTTCGGTGCACTGCCATCTGACTTGCTTTCCCAAAGGCCAGTTTCTTTACGGTATGATCTGCCCCAAATTCTTTGCAGTCCCCTGCTCTTCTCTGCCTATTGCATAAAGCTAACTTCCTTTGGCCTGACTTCCCAGAACTGTCTTTTTGTTTTGTTTTGTTTTTTTAAGATTTTATTTATTTATTCTCTCACTTATTTATTCATTTTCTCTTCAGAGAGAGCACAGGCAGGGGGACCGGGAGAGGGAGCAGCAGGCTCCTCACTGACCAAGGAGCCCAATGCAGGACTCCATTCCAGGACCCTGGGATCATGACCTGAGCTGAAGGCAGATGCTTAACAGACTGAGCCACCCAGGTGCCCCTTCCCAGAATTTTCAAATTGCCCATAGCAGTACCCCCAACTCACACATCCTATTGATCCCCAAAGTTCATTTCTGTTCTACTTAGTCCTTGTTCCTGGTCAATACCTAGTCATCTGTACTTCTGAATCTTTAGGAGTGCCTCCCACCCAACTTTATTTCTGACTATTCACACCTCCAGGGAATATTGTCATAAGGCAAGACTCTAGAGTCCTTAGGATCTTTGCCTTTGAATTTCAAGAGATAATCTTATGCTTGTATATGATACTAATTAGGTCATATATATTAATATTCTCCCAAACATTTAATAACTACAGAGCCCTAATTACGTGCCCCATACTCTGCAACTCTATTAATTGATCATTAGTGGTATGAGTTCTGTATTGCTTAGTTTTTGAAGCCATGTTTCAAAAGGAGAGCCATAAAAAAGATTTCACCCTTTCTCTTTAAAGCTGTGTGTGTGTGTGTGTGTGTGTGTGTGTGTGTGTGAGTAGTGACAACTTGAAAGAAAATGAAAATAGCATGTAGTTTCTGTGGATCAATAATAGATAATTGCTCGATTCAGAACAAGGCAACTATAGTAGTTTTAAGAGCTAAGTCCAATTCCAAAACTAGTACTGGTTCATATATTTTAACACCTTTATGTCTCTTGTGTGAGGTTTTTGCAGAGAGGGAGCAAGGGGCAGCTCTGTGTCTGGGGTTCTGTCCACAAAATCCATGCTGGAATGCTTATGGTGTCTACATCTAGGGATGCCCAAAACTGGAGTGTGGAGTACATGTTCCTGCCTTATCCTGTGTGATCCCCTGAAATCAACCAGGACACTGATACACACGCTGACCAGGAGAGAGTCTGAAAGAGAAAGGCACATTTGTCAGCAGGCAGGGAGAACTGTGGGTTTTGAGAATCATTAAGAAAGAAAAAATGAATCCCTTCTGAGAGTTGGAGGTTGGCATGTACACTTGCTGAAAGCTGGAGCACTAGAATTTTTCATGTAGGAATAGGAATGCTCACTCCTTTGAAAGCAAGAAAGTCTTCCTTGTCCTGCATGTGCAACTAAAGGTTGAGCCTCACTAGGTAGATAGAGGCCAGGCGGGTGGGCGCCAGCACCCCACCCTACACTTTACCTCTCCCTCACCATACACATACACACATACTTTATTCAGAGCCATCTCTCTGCTCTTATGTTTTATTCTCTGAATTAAAATTTCATATGAGGGGCACCTGGGTGGCTCAGTTACTGAAGCATCTGACTCCTAATCTCAGGCTTGTGAGTTCAAGCCCCACACGGGCTCCACTCTGGGTGTGAAGCCTACTTAAAAAAAAAAAAAAAATTTTGTATGAGCAGAAAGTGCTTGGCTAAGAGAAGTTTGAAAACCACACAAGTGGGTAATCTCTAAGGTCCCTTCTAACATTTTTCCCCCCAACATTTTATTCCATAGATAGTAGGGAGCATTGGAACAGGAAAAAATAGGCAATCTTCACTACTTTTCTGCTTCCCCACTTATTCCCCACACTTTATGCATGAAATGCTTCAATTAGAGATTTGTATCTTTTGATCAAAAGCTCAAATGTTTCCCCTCACTTTGAATACAAGCATTTCTGGGAGGACCAATACGTTAGAGCTGTCGGTCATCAATCAGTCAATTCATAACAATCCCTCAACATGAATGAATTTCTCACATACTTTCCCAAAAGCCAGTTTTAGGAAGAAGGTGAGAACACTGGTTGCTTGAGAGGAAAGGCATCTCAGGAAAGGGGAACCTATGCACAGCTGATGTCATTGCACCATGACAAGTCCCTTGGAAGACAACCCACTCATAAATAAGTAGACCTGTGGCAAAGTTTGCACATCCATTGATTTGCCTGTCCCTGAGTAGACATTTAATTGAGACACTTGCTACTTGAACCATTACCCCCCTACCCTGACACAACGAGGAGCACAATCACCCAAGGTGGCTAATCATGATTCCTTTCAGTACAAAATCACTCTCTGCTTGATTTTTATTTTTGTGGGCCATAAACTGCAGGGGAAATGTCAGCAATCTTGGATTCTCTGGGGATTTCTCCTCCTCCTGTGTTTAGTTTCTTACCTGGTTAGGCACACACGCACAAAGTCCGCTGCATTTTCCGAGAAGTGTTCTGGTAACGGAGGCATCAGCCCTCGGTGCGCTCCAATGTAAAACATGGCTGCCATCCTGTCCATGGAAGCCAACGGGGGCTTCCCTGTGGCCATCTCAAACACGGTACAGCCAATGCTCCAGATGTCTGACTTCCTTCCATAACCAGACTCATTGATGACTTCTGGGGCCATCCAATATGGAGTCCCATGCATGGACTTCAGCATGTCACTGTGGGTGCCATTTAAGCCAGCCCACGCCAAACGCTTGGCACAGCCAAAGTCAATTAGCTTTATTATTCCGGTTGGCATGAGCATGACATTATTTCCTTTGATATCTCGATGCACCACACAGTTCTCATGAAGATAAGCAACACCTTGCAGAATTTGTCTTGTATATTTACAGAACACCATCTCAGGCAATGGCCCAAAACGGTTTATAATACTAGAAATAGAGCCACCAGGGACAAACTCCATGAAAATGCTTACAATGTTCTCTTCCAAGCATGTCCCCAAATAGGCCACGATGTTGACATGTTTCAGTGCTTTGAGCAAATCTACTTCTTCCTGCAGTTTCCGGTATTCTTTTTCGGTAGCTAATTTATCAGAGGTATCCAAAGCCACCTGTTTTACAGCTATCAGCTGTCCTTGGCTAGTAAGACCACAATATACCTAGAAGCAAACATTATTATTAAATATAAATGATATAACTTGTTCACAAAATGCCTCAGGTGACCATTGTCTTTCCCTTCTCCTCCCAAACCCTCCTCTTTTTCTAAGTTGATACATCCCTACGTAAGAGCAAAGTACTTAAGCAAATTCAATGTTTCAGTGAGGCCAAAATGGGGAGGAGTAGCATGGCGAATGGATATTATACTGGGTTGGATTGGATAGAATCTTGGCTTCGCCATTCCCCAGCTGTGTAACTTTGGGTAAGTTGCATAATCTTTTTGACTTAAGTTTTTCTCATCTATAACACTGAGATAAGAATTCTTACCTCATAGATATCTACATGACTACATTGGGAAAACTCCTCACCAAATAAGTGAAATGCCTATTTCAGTGCTAAAGCTCTAAGGAGAAAGGGGAACCCAGGTCCTGGGGTAATTTGGCAGTGACCTGTCATACGTTTTCAGTGGTTTCATGTCTTTCCAGCTTCTCACTGATATGTCCCCAGCTAGAAAATAACCTGTCTCATCTGGGGATCAGTCTTCTTTTTACCAATCTGTGTAAACAGTATCTAATGTGCTAGGATTTTAGATGGTCTTTCATGCCATTCAAAAAATGTAAGGAACTTTTTTTTTTTTTTTTTTTTTTTTTTTGCCACTCAGCAATGATTCTCCCAACTTCTTGTAACATCTTGAGCTGTCGAACAATGAGACATCTCTCCCACTGGACTTGGACCCGGGAGAATGAAAGGCTAGAAATACATTGGCCATCGCCCCTGAGAATGAGACCCATTAGGAGAGATACCAAGAGGCCAGACCTTAGTGACATTGTCTGACCCCTGAAATCAGCTATGCCCAGAGCCACGCCTATTCCGCACCCTTCAGTTACATAAGCCAGTGAATATCCTTTCCCCCAGGCCAGTTTGGGTTGGGTTTCCTATTACTTCCAACCGAAAAAGTTCCATGTAAAAGAGTTTACAGAGTGGGGAGGGCAGAAGAGGATTAGGGAGAAAAGGGAGGGTCAAGGAGGAGTGGGGAATTGAGGTTTCATCATGTTTCCCACTTAACTTACTGTGCCATAGGCTCCCTTCCCAAGGATCTCTCCCTTTGTCCACAGGATAGATTCTTCATACTTCAAACTATTTTCAGAGAATGTCTTCTTTTCATTTGAGTTGAGAAATTTCTCCTCCTTATTGTATATCCTGAACCCATTACTATATCTCTGGGACAATGAGACAAAAAGAAAAGTCACCATTAAATTCTGAGTCATTGGGATAGAGGGAGGGCAGGAAAGTAGTCTTCCTTTCTTCTAACTTGGGACCAACTAGAGAAGCCAAATATGCACACCCTGACCAGTCACATAGGATGCTGCTTGTTAGCCCACCTGCAGTTTCGCCATCCCAAGAGCACACTGAAGCCTGCTCTTTTTCCCTCTAAGGTTTCCCACTCCTCTGCCTGTCTTTGAGTCTCTGCCAAACACAGTGTTAGTGGCTGACTCCATTGCTATAGCAAGCTATGAATAGCTTTTGTCTGTTCTTCAGTTATTTCCACAACACAAACATACACTCAAACACACGCATATATACATAAACCTATATACATATACACAGAGACACTCTCTCTCCCTTGTGCACAGCCACAATGCATAAAGAGTGAAGATCCATGGTCCTCTAGACCCTTGGTACTCAAAGGAGAATCTGTTAGGAGCTTGTTAGACATGCAGAATCTCGGGCCCCAAGCATACTGAATTAGTGCCTACATTTTAACATGATCTCCAAGTGATTTGCATTCACAATAAATTTGGAGAAGTCTTGCCCTAGAAGTCAGAGAACAAGAATCTCTGTAGAATATAGACCATGTTTTCCAACTCATTGATCAGGGCCAAAAATGCTTTGTTTTGATCTCCTTCACAAGTTCTTAAAAACAAACGATAGTGACGCAGACACATGGTGAAGGCTATTAGGAGCAAGACTTTCTTGCAAGCTTACCTTCCTCGGGAATGAAAAGACCATTTGAGTTCCTCCTCCCCCATCCTTTCATGTTTCTACCCAAACTAAACTTAAGGACTGCTTGGGAAGGAAAAGGCTGCAAATAGTCAGTTTTGACTCCATCACTGCAGGATGGGGTTACAGGCTGATGATTTTACTAGCTTGATAGCTTTGCTTGAATTTAAAATGGCAGAGTTGGGCGGCACCTTCATGGCTCAATTGGTGGAGGCATCGACTCTTGGTTTTGGCTCTTGGTTATGATCTCATGGGTCATGATCTCATCTGTCTTGACATCATGCCCCAAGTCAGACTCCGGGATCAGCAGGGAGTCTGCATGAAGCTCTCTCCCTTTCCCCCTCCTCCTGCATGCACGTGTGTGCACATTCTCTCTCTCTCTGTCAGATAAATAAGTGTTAAAAAAAAAAAAAAAACTAAAATGGCAGAGTTCTAGACTCAACTCAGACACACAGATGTGCACACTCATATCCCATTTCCTACCCCAGCCTGGAGGCCTTCCTGAACCACTCTCTACTCCCAACAGAAATTAAATTCACCATGAGGACAGAGCTGGCATTTCAGGACAAGGAGTAATCTCACTGTGTAGTGATTAAAGGTGTGGGCTGGAATCAGAATGCGTGGCTCCGCCACTCACTGACTGTCTTAACTTCCTAAGCCTCACTATTCTCACCTGCCAAATGGGGACTTGTTATGTCATAGACCTGTTATGAAGCATATAAAGAAGACAACATAACATATCTCACTCCTACGTGGTAAGTTCTCAGTAAACCCAGCTATGATAAAACTATTTGCCTTGTGTATCCTTTGATCAGCTGACTACAACGATTGTTCCTAATCTGGAGATGGTGTGATATAGCCCCAGTCAGTGCACAATAAAACTTCAGGCAAACCTACAGTTTCTGCCTTTATAATCTGAGTAGAACAAGAGGCTGATGTAATTCAGTGAGAATTGAAACAGACAAAACAAAACCCAGTGATCTGTTGGTATTCCTCTTCCCCACCCGCACTCCAAAACCAAACAAATTTTTTTTTTAATTTTTCAGGATTGTTACTTATTTTCCTTGAGAACAATGGCTAAGTCTTGTATCCCAACATGTCGCTAGTTCTTAGCCAAGTGCCAAAAACACAGGAAGCACCAATAATATTTCTGTGTTAAAATTTTCATATTTCATGTCTTCGTATCTGTTTTGGAATTAGCTGGTGAGCTACTTCAGGGGCTATGTGCATTTCTTTCTATTTCACATACCATCCAGAGCAATGTTTTACCCATAATTATCTCTCTGCTATTTGTTGATTGAAAACATCTTCACTGAATAAAATATTGACCTACTTTAAATAAATAGTTTTGCTATATTAATGTGCCCAAAGTGATGCCACAGCAGTGTTGGGCTAGCTGAATTCCAGAAGTAAGGCGGTATAATGAAAACATCTTAGCCTGGCAGTCAGGAGATCTGGATGCCAAACTTGCAACCAAACAGGGAGACCTGACAAACTGTTTAGTTGTTCCGGGTTTCTGATTCCTCAACTGAAAATAAGGAGTCTGAACCAGACTGTTTCTGAGGTCTCTTCCTGCCTCAATGGATTACTGATTCTAATTATACCAACCTGTATTTTAACGTTTGTTGTCTCTCTGCCCAATTCTGCCGTGGTTTTTCCTCTCCTACTGAACACAAGACTTAGGTTTTCAGGATCTGTTTCATTTGCCATTATCTGGCAAGAGGTGTTCTCTCTCTCATCCAGAGCTAAGAGTTCTGCAGCTAGGCACCCTAATAGTTCATCTGTCAATTCTTCGCTCTTCACAGAATCTAGAATTTCTTGTGAAATTGAATTTGCCTCCTTTAAAGTGTCTTCAAATGTGTGATATGTAACCGACTCATCAGCTAAACTATCCTGATCCAAAGAACGTGCCCAATGCTGATATGCTTGGGAAGATGCCCTCTGTTGTTTCTCTTGGAAAGAGAAACTCTGAAGTGTTTCAGACTTATCTAAAACCCTCTCAAACCCTATATCATTAGTTAAAATTTGGTTGGCATTTATTTTGCCAAGAGAGGGTGTATTCTGCTTTTCTTGCTGTACACGCTTGTTGGAACCCTTGTCACTGGGCACTGCCCAGCTATTTTCGGAAAGGACAAGTGGGGTCTGGTGATGTAGCTCTTCCAGTTCATGCAGATCTCTGAGGCTTGTGGCAAGTATTTGATTGTTAGAAGTGTCTCCTTCATCACCAGACTCTTCCATAGAGACTTCTTCAACAGTGGACAAATCTGTAACAGGAAGTTCATTCTGTTCAGGGGACCGCTTGTGCGGCAGAGCCAAGTTCAAGGGCTGAACTTCATCCCTGGAAGAGAGAAAGTCACTTCCTGAAGACTTTACCTGCCACTCTGGATCTGAAATATCATCACCATTTCCAATGCCTTGTAAGTTGCTACCTACGGCCCTGTAACCCTTTTCTTTAGAAATTAAACTTTTGTTCTTTTGTTTAATGTCAAGTGAAGCCTTTGCAGGCTTAATATGTGGTCTTTTCTGAGAAAATCTTGTTCTGCCACTGCTGCTCCTCTCACTGTGTGAAGATCGACATTTGCTGGTAATACTGCTCCCAGATGGAGTTGAGGATATCTCTCTGTAGTATTTGTTCTCATGACGTTCAGCCTCTCTCATGTGACAATAAACAGGAGTCCCAAACATTTCATAGATTCCAGGCCCATTAGCAGTTGAATTGATTTCTTTGAACATGTCACTATACTTAAGATCTAAGTAATTGAGTCTCGGCTCTGTTGGTTGAGCAGAGAGAGGAACAGAAGACTTTTTCATTCCTGGATTCTTAAAGAGACAAGGAAAAGATTGCTTTTTGGTTTTTAGAGCCCGGTGACTTGATTGCTTCTTTTCTACCTGTGGCATTTGCCTTTGAAACTTGGGTGACTGTCGAGATCTGGGGTCAACAATCCCCAAGGCAGGGAAAACTTGAGTTTTAATGCTGTTTTTATGCATGGTAGGCTTGATGGAACCTTCAATGGAAATCATGAAATTCTGGGGTGTCTTGTTACTGCTCTTGGTCTTTGATTCCAACTTATTTCTGTGGGTTTTCCTCTTATGCCCATCAGTTTCTGGGTGTGCGAGTATGTTGAAGCTATTGTTGTTTTGAGGAGTGCCTTTTCTTTTTGGGAGGCTCGGTTTGGCTCTTGCCAGTTCCCTGGGAGTTCCATGTTCAGGGAAAGTGATGTGGATAAGAGGCACTATTCCATTCATTTCTGGTTTGGTGGCCTCTGCTACTGATACTTTTATGTTTGTCTCCATGCTTCTATGACCTTGAGGGAGCTTCTCAGTGGGGCCATCAGGGACTGCACTGGACAAACTTTTAAGTACAGCATACTCTTCTAAAATATGATTTGGCTCAAGTGCTTCACCTTTATGTACTGAAGCACTTTTGGAATCAGTCTGATCGTTTCTAGTTTCTTTATCCTGGTTTAGAATTATTTCTGAATGCTGGGATTCTTGGAACTTGATTGGCATGGTACATCCAACTTCACAGCCTTGTTTACAGTTTCTGGCTACTGAATCCTCTTTCTTTCCTGACGATAGATGTCGAGAATTCTCTTCTGCTTTTCTCATTTCATGACCAATGGAGTCAATATCCATCTCCCTATCTGTCGGAAAACTGCTTTGCTTACAATTCTCAAAGGACACCAAAGATTGTCCTTTTCCGAAGTCAAAGGTTGTGATTTTGTCACTTCCTTCATTTTCCTTGGAATTCCTACTCTCCTCCATCTCCATGTATTGTCTATGATGGCTAGCCTTCCAAAAGGAGCACATGTTTCTGGACCAAATGGAGCTATCAGTGGACCTAAGAGTCTGATCCACAAACACCTTAAACGGAGTTTCCTGCTGCTTGTGCGATGGTCTAAACTCCTCAGATCGACTTCCAGGCTCTGAGAGCTTAGGTACGAAGGATATGAAGTTCAGAATATTTCTTTCTTTCTCTTTTTGACCCTTGTGATTTGAGGGGATTGTATGAAGACCAGGTTTCATGGACAAAAGTGACAACTGTGGCAGAGGGAACTAAAAGGAAAGAGAAAAAGGTTAATGAACACAGAAATGTACATGATATCATATTAAGTGGTTTAAAGTAATCCAGAAAGATTCTTTTTTTTTTAAATTCAATTAACCAATACATAGTACATCATTAGTTTCAAATGCAGTGTTCAGCAGTTCATCAGTTGCGTAAAACACCCATTTCTCATCACATCACGTGTCCTCCTTAATGTCCATCACCCAGTTACCCCATCTCCCCATCCATTCCAGATAGATTCTAAGATTCTCTTTAGGTAGCCCTTTACAAGGGTATCTTAGAGATACCAATTTTATTTTTCTATTTTTTAAAGATGTTATTTATTTATTTATTTGTCAGAGACAGAGCACAAGCACGAAGAGCGACAGGCAGAGGGAAAAGCAGGCTCCCTGCTGAGTAAGGAGTCCAACACGGGGCTTGATCCCAGAACCCCGGGATCATGACCTGAGCCAAAGGCAGACGCTTAACCAGCTGAGCCACCCAGGTGTCCACTAGGGATCCCAATTTTAAAGACTAAAAGCTCACTTATGGTATTTTTTGTAAAACAATACTTCTAAAAACCAAGATTCTTGGGGGTGCCTGGCTGGTTCAGTCAGTGGACTAGGTAACTCCTGATCTCGGGGCAGTGAGTTCAAACCCTATGTTGGGTGTACAGATTACTTAAAAGTAAAATCTTTTAAAATATAAATAAATAAAAAATAAAAACCAAGATTAGTATAGCTATAAAGATTCATGTTTATGTATTTATAATAAAATAAAGGCCCTGTAATGTAAACATTAAAATTTTAAAAAATATTTATTTATTTTAGGATGAGAGAGAGTATGTGTGAGTGTGGAAAGAGACAGAGAGAGAAGGAGAGAAATAGACTTCCACTGATTGTGGAGCCCGAGGTACAGCTTGAGCCCAGGAGCCTGAGATCATGACCTGAGCAGAAATCAAGAGTCCAGCGCTTAACCAACTGAGCCACTCAGGTGCCCATGTTAATATTAAAATTTTAAGATGAGAAATTTTATTTCTCTTCTCTTTTCCTTTTCATTTCCATAGAATCGATCTCTAAGATTTTTTAAAATACCCACTTAGATTAAAATTTCCGTTACAGAGGCACCTGGGTGTGGGCTCTACATTGGGCAAGGAGCCTGCTAGGGATTCTCTGTCTCCCTCTCTCTCTGCTCCTCCCTGCTTCTGCTTATGCTCTTTCTCTTAAAAAAAAAAAAAAAAAAAAAAAAAAAAAAAGTTACAGTTACTTTAACAATGATTATTAGGTTATAGACTAACTCTGAATTTGTATCTGGAGCACAACTACTCCTTAATATTGACGAATTGTTTTGTTGAGCAGGGCTTAAAAAGGTGCCACACTATACACTTGAAACCTAGCAACCGTGAATGGTTTTTACTTCTTTGTCCTCTCAACGGTTTTCAAAAGAAGTTAGTTTTTATTATCTGCAACCTCTAGAGGTCAGTGTAACCCAATATATAAAATTAAGCTTTATGGTCATTAAGCTATAAAATGACTTTCCACTGTGATTCTTCCCAGATTTGGTACCTAATTATATTAGAATACTTTTGGCATGGATCATGCATGACAATAGAGAGCTATATGTTTAATTGTCATTGTATTGCTACCTGTTTGTAAGTAGAAAGGAAAAGGAAGCTGACACTGGAGACCTAGCCATTAGAAGTAGTGAAAAGCAGTGAGATTCCCCACTTCTATTGTCCAGATGATTTTCTTCAGTCGCTTAAACATAATGTCAGAAATAAAGACAGGGCTGCCTCAGTGGCTCAGTGGGTTAAGCCTCCGCCTTTGGCTTGGGTCATGGTCCCAGGGTCCTGAGATCAAGCCCCAAATCAAGCTCTCTGCTCAGCAGGGGGCCTGATTCCCCCGCCCCCCACCGCCCCCTACCTGCCTCTCTGCCTACTTGTGATCTCTCTCTGTCAAATAAGTAAAATCTTTAAAAATAAATAAATTAATTAAATAAAGACAGATTCTGCAAGGGCTTAAACATCTCCCTAGTAGTAGCTTTTATTTGTTTTTAAGGCCAAAAAATTTCTTTTTACAATACTGAGCAGGACCTATGCGCTTTCTTTCTTTTTTTTTTTTTAATAGATTTTTATTTATTTATTTGACAGAGAGGGAGAGATCACAAGTAGGCGGAGAAGCAGGCAGAGAGAGAGTGGGAAGCAGGCTCCCTGCTAAACAGAGAGCCTGATGCGGGGGCTCGATCCCAGGACCCAGAGATCATGACCTGAGTGGAAAGCAGAGGCTTAACCCGCTGAGCCACCCAGGCGCCCCACGACGCGCTTTCTTATAGGCTCGTGGGACAGAAAAGAGGCTGGCAGTTGAGAGGTTCGCAAGAATCTTTCCAAAAACTATACTTACAAACTGAATTGGGAAAATCTATCACTGGGGGGAAATTTTACCTAATTTCTAGACATGTTAAAAGAAGGAAAAATATGTCTAAAAGAGTTACTTACCACATTATATAGTGAACAGAAGACACACCGGAAAAGAAATGTACATGGCAAAGTATAACTGTCCTAGTAGCTATTTGCGACTCTCTAAACTGTCTGTGAGCTGTTGTTTTCCAAGCTATAGTTGCTGAGGATTTTGGTCCTGAGTTCTTTGATAGAGTTTGTCTCTAACAAGAGGTTCCTTGGTTTTATATGTTAAGTCCGAAATGCTAGAACTAATCTTACCTCGATTCTTTGGTTACTGTACTTCATATCAGAAATAGAAAACTCTATAACAAGAAAAAAATAAAATAATTAGATATTCTTAGTAATAGAGTGAACACAGCAGGTTTTAAACCAGAGTTGGAGATGGAGTGATCTTAGTGCTAAGGTTTGAGGAAAAGATAAAATTAAGAACTTTTCAAGTTGTGGGGCGCCTGGGTGGCTCAGTTTGTTGAGCAACTGCCTTCGGCTCAGGTCATGATCCTGGAGTCCTGGGATCAAGTCCCACATCGGGTTCTCTGCTCAGCGGGGTGCCTGTTTCCCCCTCTCTCTTTGCCTGCCTCTCTGCCTACTTCTGATCTCTGTCTGTCAAATAAATAAATAAAATCTTTATAAAAAGGAAAACAACTTAAGGCTTAAAGAAAAAAAGGGGGGCCCCTAGGTGGCTCAGTCGGTTAAGTGACAGCCATCAGCTCAGTTCATGATCCCAGAGTCCTGGAACTGAGCCCCGCATTGGGCTCCCTGCTCAATGGGAGGTCTGCTTCTCCCTCTACCCTTCCCCCATCAAATAAATAAATAAATATCTTTAAAACAAACAAACTTCAGGCTCCCACCGCTGAAGGGGGATGATGTTTTATATATAAAGTTTTCTTATATACAGTTTACCCTTGAACAACATGGGTTTGAACTGCATGCATCCACTTACATGTGAACTTTTTCAATAAATGCAATACAGTACTGTAAATGTATTTTCTTTATGATTTTTTAAAAATATTTTATTTATTTGAGAGAGAGCAGAGGGAGGAGTACAGGTGAAGGGAGAGGGAAAAAAATCTCAGGCAGACTCTGTGCTGAATGGAGCCCAACATGGGGCTCAGTCCCAAGACTCTGAGATCATGACCTAAGCTGAAACCAAGAGTCAGATCCTCAAGTGACTGAGCACTCAGGTGCCCCTTTATGATTTTTCTCAATAATATTTTCTTTTTTCTAGCTCACTTTATTGTAAGAATACAGTATATAAGACACATACAAAATATGTGTTACTTGACTGTTTATATTATTGATTAGGCTTCCAGTTAACAGTAGGCTATGAGTAGTGAAGTTTCTGGGGAGTCAAAAGTTATACATCGATTTTCTATGTCAGTTTCCCCAACTCTCACATTATTCAAGGATCAACTGTAAATTATATCATATATATATATAATATGCATATTATATACATACACATATATGTTTGTGTTCATATATCTACATTTACATTCATAATTATATTCATAATCATGTTTATGTTTATGTTTATGTTTATATTCTGATAGGAAATACAAGCTTTCTGGGTCAGAGAACAGAGCATTCATTACTCACAAAGCATCATAGCACCAGCTTCCCACACCTCAGTTCCCCACAGGGCAACACAGTGAGCACCAGATGTTTACCTGTGGGGAAGCACCACAAAAACGAACCTTGAAGTTATGAGTCTCAGAGTGATGGGTACTTCGACCCTTCTTTCTCTCCCAAGAAAGAGTGACCTTTACTATGAAATGTAAGCAAATGTCTCCAGGAGAAAGGGGGCATGTATCTCTGGGTTTGATGATCCTTGAATGTAAGCAAACAGCTCCTGAGGAAATAAATGTCTGAATCTCTCTGGAGCAGTACACTAACTCTAATTTCCAGGACATGTTTATCATGCAATCATCTTTTAACCTCATTTCCTAGCGCTTTTTGTTCATAAAACCTGGGCCATACAGAAATGTGAAAACAAATATTCATGTATAATAGGGACAGTTGTTTGAACTTAAACATGGGATAGATCATACATGGGGTTACTAGGTAGTGTCGACCTAGTGGTTGTCCTTTTACCAAAAAGTCAGAATGGTGCCTAAAGCCCCACCCACCACCACAGCTTGAAGTTAAAGCCAAAAGGTCCCATGTGTCTAGTGTCAAGGCAGGTCCCATAAATGGATGAAATGGGACAGATAGGGACAGTAGTGAGCTGAAATTATGTGCTCCAACTAAAAAGACATCTACTGGGTGCCTGGGGGGCTCAGTTGGTTAAGCCACTGCCTTCCGCTCAGGTCATGATCCCAGAGTACCAGGATCGAGTCCCGCATCAGGCTCCCAACTCCATGGGGAGTCTGCTTCTCCCTCTAACTTTCTCCCTTCTCACACACTCTCTCTCTCTCAAATAAATAAATAAAATCTTAAGAAAAATAAATAAAAATTAAAAAATAAAAAGACATCTGCTACACAATTCCAAGTGATGTTTTCCATTCCAAATGGATAATTTAGTACTGCTAGTTTCTCCAATCATCAAGAGAAGCCAGAGAGCTGGAGATTTTATGTGTAATTTCCCACCCATCCCCTTTTTTTAGTGTTTTGAAGGTCGAACATAATATAATCCAGGTCCGTTTTAGCCACAGGTTGCCATTTTTTTAAAAAAATTTTATTTATTTATTTGACAGACAGAGATCACAAGTAGGCAGAGAGGCAGGTAGAGAGAGAGGAAGGGAAGCAGTCTCCCTGCTGAGCAGAGAGCCCGATGTGGGGCTCAATCTCAGGACCCTGGGATCATGACCTGAGCCAAAGGCAAAGGCTTTAACCCACTGAGCCACCCAGGTGCCCCCACAGGTTGCCATTTTAAAATCTGACTTAGAAACAGACCTCTCTAAGATATAACACAGGTAAAGAAGACATCAGCGGGTGAAAAATGGTACCTAAGAAGAGGATACCAATAGGAGGGGTTTGAGCATTCCTCGTAGCCATAGCTAGCAAAACCACCTTCCAATTCTTTATGCATTTCTTCAACAAATATTTATTGAGTGCTTGAGGAGTGACTGATAGATGGCAATAGAGTTGTCAACAACAAAGACAAAATCCTTGCCCTCTGAAAGGTCATATTCTGGAGGTTGAGGTCTCCCTGTTGAGAAGATGCTACAAGTTAATACCAGAAATACAACTGAATATAAAGTATAATTGGGTGCATGTGTATAACCTCCTGATTTAAAAAAGAAAAAACCTTTCTAACCTTATTATAAATATTTGGATAAATGTTATTCAGTGTTGGGAAGGCACGATATGAGGCAGAAAAACACTCAAACATTTCTGGTGAGATGGTAGAGGTGAGATCTTGCTGGTAGGTACTTCAGCATTAAATGTTGAAGGCCTTTCTACAATGTGTATAGAATTCCAGTTAAAAGATCAAATGTGCCAGGTTTTCTCCATTCCACAAACCTCACTATAATGATAGTAAAGGAAATTAAAAAGGAGTAAACAAGAACAGCAACAACAACAAAAGCCCAGAGGACAAGACAGCAGAAGAGGAAAGTCAACAAAATTTTACATGGTGAAAACTTAACAGATGAATAAGAATTGATTGGCTGTCAGCCTGCAGGGGAAGAACTCAGTAAGAAATAAGAACTCCAGACAGGAGCCGAAATTGAAGATGCTGTGTTCCTCCGAAGGTGAGGATGAAAAAAAGGGGTTGCTTGTAAGTCTGGGGAAGAAGTGGTTTCCAGCTTCCCTGTCCTGCCCCACTCAACTGGAGCTGCTCTTCTCTGTTCCTGGCAATGGCTGGAAGTTTACTTTCTGGAGAGTTTGGGACAAAAGATAGTAAGGAGCTAGGGAGGTATAGCTGAGAGCAGAAGCAGGGTGCTGGAGTGAAAATAAAAGGATTAAGGGAAAGCTGGCAAACTGAGAGACTTTCAATCCAGTCAGGGGCTTGGGTTTTCCCTAGGAAAAACTGGCCAAGAGAAAAGCCTATCTGTACACACTGACACTTGGGGAATCCCTCACTCAACCATCTAGGTCTTTCTCTGCCCATTCAATACGCTCCCTGGAGCACACAGCACTTTTTATTCCCAACAAACACAAATAGATAGCCAAGCCAAGGAACAATGGATGTGAGGAAAGCCTCTGATGTGAAAATACAGAGAACAAAACAAATGGAAAGAACAGAGTTCAAAAGAAACGGAGACAATGAAAAACCATCATTAGTATACTTTATGCACCTCTTCTCAGGAAGCTACTAGAAATGCGCCCTACTGAAAATCCTGCCCTGACAGCTTCTCTGCTATGTGATCTCTTTTATTGCAGTAAGCCAGTAAATGCACCATGTTGGACTACATGTTTGTCCCAGGAGGTTTAAGCCAATTGGTTTAGGACACTGGTGAGCAAATACCAAAGACAGCGTTGCCCTAAGGGAAAATGCTGGCACCAGGGCTGCTATCTGGTAAATAAGTCTTGGGCTAGAGAGAGTGGCAAACTCAAATCCTGGAGGAAGGCATCTTCCATGTAAGCCCCCAAATTCCCACAGGTAAACATCAACTAAATACGAGTTCACAGTAAAGATTTTTCAAACATTCAAGAAAAAGATGATAGATAGATATATAGATAATTTATTGGCAGAAGAATAAAGGACTTTTTAATTAAATGAATTAAATGTAATTAATGAACTCATTTATTACAGATTTTCTTTATCTGTAATTAAATGTAATTAATTGAACTCACCTTCAGATTTTCTTTGCTGCCCCTTCAGAAAGTGAGGAACATCTTCTCTGACTACAGACATGGAGACGTTCGGTTCTAAGCAAGGTCTTGGCAACAAAAGGCCCACATTCTCATCACAGAGCTCCTTGGAACTTTCCTCTTTCTTCAAAAGTAAAGGCCCCATGGTCAGCGTCTTGGTCTCGAAGTCCACCATCTCATTTGGGAGAGAAACAGCATGTGCTCGTGCCCATTCTCGATGCACTGGGGCTATCTGACTAAAAGGGAGGAGGACAGAGTTTCACTCAAAACTTACTCCCTGTTTTTTCTGGATCTCCACTTCCCAGTCTAGCCTGACATCACCAGAAAGTTGGAGAACTATTTCCAAGTGGTGCTGCTGAGTGGAAGAGCTGTACTCTTGAAAGGACAAGACCTCTCCACCCTCTGACTCACACCCCACATCATCTGTCTCCCTATTTCCCTGGGCAGAGAAATCAGAGGGGGAAAGTGCAGACATAAGGGATGCACTCTTTTCCTTCTCCCAAAGGCCTGCTCAGGACTTCTCAAACTATCTTTGGGAAAGGACCAGTTTTTAAATTTTCCAATCCATTGTGGAATGACACTTTTGTAGAATTTTTATAATAAAAGTGAATTACTATAAGAATAAAACAAAAATCAAAACCATGAAAACAAACCCCAGTTTTTTCATTATCAGATCAGTGAACCTAAAATTACCTGGTCACATTGGAATACAACTTTTTAAGTGTTTACATTTTCATGTTCTGTCCTGACTTCATCACGGACTGGTAATAGAAGGACCACAGAATCACATATTAAGTGGCACTGCTGTAGGGTCAGCAAACTCTGCCCTAGGAGCCAAAGTCAGCCTTCAGTCTGTTTTTGCAATTTTATTGGATCACAACCATACCCATTTGTTTTCATACTGTCTATGACTGCCTTGGAGCCACTATTGCAGAGCCGAATCATTGCAACAGAAGCCACATGACCCGTAAAGCCTAAAATGTGTATTATCCAGCTCCTGCCACAATAATATTTACTACAACCCCTGCTTTAGAGTGTTTTTTGGAGAGTGAATTACTAAAAATGTAGGTTACCACACAAGTATCCCTTTGTACTTAAATTTCAGCCTAAACTTTCAAAGAAAATTCCTTACTTGTTTTCTTGCAAATCTTCTTGGCTCACTTCTTGGAGATAATGGACATCTCTTGGAAAAGTAACAATAATCTCAACACCTGTAGAAACACATGATGATGATAAAAAGAAGAAAGTAATGAATTCCAGTGATACCTGGGAACTGAGTATTTTATTTCTGGTTATTTAGCTAATGTTTTTAATAATTAAAGAATGTGCAATAGAATAGAAAGCCCAGAAATCAACCTACAACTCTATGGTCAATTAATCTATGACAAAGGAAGCAAGAATGTGCAATGGGAAAAAGACGGTCTCTTCAACAAATGGTGTTGGGAAAACTCGACAGCTATGTGCAAAAGAATGAAACAGGACAACTCTTACACCACACACAACAATAAACTCAAAATGGATGAAAGACCTAAATGTGAAACCTGAAACCATAAAAAATGTAGAAGGGAGCACAGGTGGTAATATCTCTGACATTGGCCATTGCAACATTTTTCTAGATATATTCTTGAGGCAAAGGAAACAGAAGCAAAAATAAACTATTGGGAGTACACCAAAACAAAAAGCTCTGCACAGCAAAGGAAACAATCAGCAAAACTAAAAGACAACCTAGTGAATGAGAGAAGCCCTTTTCAAATGACATATATGATAAAGTGTTAGTATCCAATATATAAAGAACTTATATAACTCAACTCCAAAAAGCAAATAATCCAATTCAAAAATGGGCAGAAGACATGAACAGATGTTTCTCCAAAGAAGTCATCCAAATGACAGATACATGAGCAAAAAAAAATGTATATAACAAAAATTTTCAGGTATGAAATAAAGATTTATGATGAGCGATGCTTTCTCCCTGGATGGAGCAAACAAGACCTCCTTCTGTAATGTACAACTAATGACACCTACTTCACACAACCACTGGGAACTTTCAATGAGATCATTTACGTGGCCCCCTAGTAACTTGCTTGTGTATGAATTTTGATCAAGTCCTATCTGATTCCATGGAATGATTTCCAGTATAACCCTTAAGACAGAAAGTTCCAACTTGTAGAATCAATGCTTGCTTACAATATAACATGTTAAATTTACATTTAAAAACTAGTATGAGAGGCGCCTGGGTGGCTCAATGGGTTAAAGCCTCTGCCTTCGGCTCAGGTCAAGCCCTGCATCCGGCTCTCTGCTCGGCGGGGAGCCTGCTTCCTCCTCTCTCTCCTCCTGCCTCTCTGCCTACTTGTGATCTCTGTCTGTCAAATAAATAAATAAAATCTTTAAAAAAAAAAAAAACTAGTGTGAATCATGCTACTTTAAGGTTTGGTCAGGTATTCATATACTTTTATTAAGTATATGCCAAGCCTAACCCTTTGTGCTGAAGATACAGAAATAAGGTACAAGATATAGAAATAAACAAGGTATCACTGTGACCTTAGTAAAGACAGCAAATAAAAAAGCACAGAGTGTATCAAGTTATCTATCACACTGTGATAGAAGTATACAAACGTTGTTGCAGGAACATAGAGATGTATCCTTCTAGAACAACCCAGTGCTTCTCCCAGTCTTCAGTCCTATATCTGTGTTTCTTAGGGCCGTTTAGTGAGTCTCCCTAGGCCTAGAAGAGCTATGGTTTTAATCAGCCCCACTGACAGAATGCTAGGAAGGAAGCAGAGCAGAGAAGATCAAAGAGGGGTATGAATCAGACAGATCTGGACCTACAGCCCCCCTCTGCTCTTCATGGGTGACTTCGGGAATGTTCCTGAATAATCTACCTTTGGTTTTCCTGATGTTTTCCCAATATGATGAAATGACTGCCGGTTTTCTAATAAATAGCAAGGAGCACGTGTCTAAAATTGAGGCTTCCCTGGAATGGTCGATATATTCTTAAAATTTTTTCAAAGAGCCTAACCACCACACTATTTATCAGCACAAAATGAGAGGCTTGGAATTCAAGTGTAAGGAATACCTGTGTGACTGCCTTTGTGGAAATTGTTAAAAACTAATGGCCCTATCCTAATTGTTGGTCCTAAATTGGGGCGGGGGGCATGATAGAACATGCTGACTCTGAAATCAGCTGGGAACATACAGATGTTCCCCATTTTGTCTCTCTAATAGTGTGAATGGTCGTGGGAACCTCTGAACCTACCCAGTGGGCCAGAAAAGATGATGCATTTTCACATGTAGAAGTGGAACCCTTGCTCCTGAGTGTGCCCTTCTACTTAAGAAGAGATAAAGTAAGCCTACCAGAAAAAGGTTACAGTAGAGAGAAACTAAGGCAACGTTTAAATATAGCCAGAAACAATTCTGCAGAAGAGGTGAAAATGATATTCAAAGTGGGAAAATGATCCTTAATTTGCTAAAGTTCAGCCATTATTAAAATGAAAACTGAAAAATGGCCCAGTCTAATTCACTCAGTGATGAAACATTCTTGTCTCCAGAAGTGTCTTCCTTTCCTGTGTTTTCTGCTGGTTCTGTTTAAATTAATGGGCATCAAAGTTCAAAATATTTTGACACCCTCTCCACACTTTTATAATTTCCTAAACCGTGAATCTCAACACGGATTTTTTTTTTTTAACTATATTTTCCAGTCTCCTTTGCCACTCGAGTTCAGAAAGCCAACTGGAGAGACAGAGTCTTTTCATGAGTTACATGAAAAAGGTAAGATGTAGTCATCGTTTTTGCCGGTGTTCCTGTCTGCAGGTGGATGAGTTTCCAAGCTTGATATGTGAGCAACTTCCTGGTTGCGGCAGAGCAGCGTGATATGAGGATGAGCAGCCAGCTTTGAGGTGTGATTACCAGAATTCTTTCTGACAATCGAACCTAGAGACTGTTCTTCTCCTTTGGCTTTTCAGTGGTCTGTGAGTTTTCTAAATATATATTTTTTAACTTCCTTCATTTCTAACTCAATTAAATTTTGTATTCTGCAACAAGAATCCTGATGGATACAGTGCATTAAAATTTTTCAAGCACAGTACTAAGAAATAGGTTCTTATTCCGTTTATGAAGAGAGGAATTTTAGATGTTCAAGGTAGTCTTCAAGGTTTGCATCTGATAATTGTTCTAGGAACATAGCTGATTGATGAATGCAAGAAGATTTTTATACTAAGGAAAAAGATGAGGGTTTTTTTTTTTTAAAGATTTTATTTATTTATTTGACACACAGAGAGCACAAGCAGGGGGTGTGGCAGGCAGAGGGAGAAGGAGAAGCAGGCTCCCCACAGAGCAGGGGGAGCCCAATGTGGGACTTGAACCCAGGGCTCGGGGATCATGACCTGAGTCAAAGGCGTTGCTCAACCAACTGAGCCACCCAAGTGCCCAAGATGAGGAATTTTTTAGGGGTGGCATAAATGGTACTTTATAAATTACCTTCTATAAAAGCCTATAATTAAGCCAATGCAGGCTGCAGGAATATTTAGCTGTTAAAATCTATGGGTGTGATCTAAACATTATAGAGTTTATATATATTTTGGTCATACTCCCTTTTGAATAGAATACAGTGAACAAAAAGATAAACTAAATGATTAAATGTGTGTATCTACAACAGGATAGAAACTCACATGGCATATACATAAAGTCTTTATAAAGTGTGCAAGCACTTAAACATCAACAACTTCAAGTGTGTTAAAAATATGTAAATGGGAGTTAAAGAGATTTATTGATACTTAAGATGAATACAACGCACACTAGAGCTCCAAACGTTTTTGTTTCACACTTGTGACTTGAAAGAGTAACTACTAAAGACTAATAACTATGAGAAGAAAGTTTACCAGAAACATAATGGCTTCTTTCAAATTTGAGAAATTTCAAGCAAAATTTTAAGCAAGAGCTTAGTGGAGGTGTTACATATGTGCTATGACTCCTCTATGAAAATTTTTTATTTTTTATTTTTTATTTATTTTTTATTTTTTATATTTTAAATTTATAAAAAATTATAAACGTTTTAAAAGATTTTATTTATTTATTTGAGAGAGAGAAAGAGTGAGCAAAAGAGCGAGTACAAGGAGTGGGGGTCGAGCTGGGAGGCAGAAGGAGAAACAGGCTCCCCGCTGAGCAGTGAGCCCGATGCAGGGCTCCATCCCAGGACGCTGAGATCATGATCTGAGCTGAAGCCAGAAGCTTAACTAACCGAGCCACCCAGTTCCCCCTGACATTATAAATTATTTTAAAAGAATTAATTGCACCTCAAATGGCAAGTCATCTCCAAATAGAGTAGAATAAATAAATTATTTAATCTCTTGGAGGGTACTTGGGACACAACTGTTCTGAGAACTCTGCTTTGAAGTGTTCAAAAGTCAAAGTCAGACCACAAGGGGTGTTTGGAAGAGGGCCAGGATTTTTAAAATTTTAATTATTTAGTTATTCTCCACCCTAAGCCTGGACAAAGGAGATTCCAAGTGAGTTTGAGAGAGACAGGAGCTCGACAGGAGAGGGCAGCATCGTATAAGGGGCCAAAGGAGATAGTGGTTGGGCCGGCACTGCGGTGTTTGAGGAGGTTCACGGGGTTGCGGAGAAAAGAATAAAAGAGGACACCTCCCCTGCAGAGTTAGAAATGGAAGCCAGAAAATTGCTGAAGAGAAACTGGAGCAGTGTGAATAAACATTTAAGAAATTTATAGGTGAGTAGATCATTGTGATCTTCGTGAAGACCATTTTCTGAAGTGAGAATCTGCAAATACCTTGTGGTCTGTTAAATGCAAAGGCATTCATGGATATGACAGGATAACATATTTGGAATGGGTGTTGTTCTGGAAAATTCCAGACTTATGTCCTCATGGAATAAAAGACTGAGACTTGGGGCTTTAGTGCCTTGTTCAGTTCCCCATCTTTTTCTGAAGAGAGAAGCCCTGGGAAAACAGCTGATGGAGAAATGCTTGTTTCTGGAAGAGAACAGATCCCTGGAGCTGATGGAAGATTCTGAGAGGAAAGAAATGGGGGGAAAGATGTTAATCAGACAAAAAGGAAAGCAGGGGAGGATGGTCAGCTGAGCTAGAATGAAGTGAATCAAGAGAGAGACATAAGAGAGATGGCCATTTTAGCTGGCAAGTGGCCAAGACTCTGATTGAGATAAAGATCAAAGGATAGGACTGTGAGTGGGTTTTCTTGACCTTTGAACTTTTCTGTGTTTTCAAAGTTCTCTACCAAGACTACTGAAATTGGGGTGGCGGGGTGAGGGGAGAGTGGAGTCCAAATAATCAGTGTATACAGTAACACAAATAATAGCCCAGATACCTTCTGTCCCGGGTTGCCAATCTTGTCCATCACCACTTGGATCTCCTCCTTCACTAACCAATATGGAATGACTACAGTCCTCGTCTTGGTCAAACTCCTGCAATATCATGAAATAGCAACTCAATTATTCAATGTACTACTTTGTTGACAGAATGAATAGTGATTTTTTGGGGTGCCTGGGTGGCTCAGTGGGTTAAAGCCTCTGCCTTTGGCTCAGGCCATGGTCCCAGGGTCCTGGGATCAAGCCCCGCATTGGGCTTTCTGCTCAGCAGGGAGCCTGCTTCCCCCTCTCTGCCTGCCTCTCTACCTACTAGTGATCTCTGTCTGTCAAATAAATAAATAAAATCTTTAAAAAAAAAAAGAATAGTGATTTTTCTAATAGTGATTTTCTAAGACAAAATGAATAGTGATTTTCTAAGTTACACACGGTAGATTGCTTTTAAGTTGGAGAAAGTATTTAAGACTGAAATAATGGGAAAAGTATCTCCTCCTGAGCACCAAGCTCAGACAGTCCCATGGACATGATTAAGTGCATAATTGAAAATGAAGATCAAAGCTGAAATCACATAGACACATAGAAATTCAATATCTTATACTTTTTATCATGTCAGCATCCAGACTGCTAAGCTGCCATGAATTCTATCTGGGCGGGTAACTGGAAAGAATCCTTTGGCCACAGCAGTGAACAACCCCAAAGAAACAAGATTTTTTTCCGTAACGCCTCCCTGGGGCATCACTTACAGTTGGCAAGGATGGAAATCCCTGCCCCATATGGAAGCTGCAGATATAACTCTAGACTGAAAGGAGACTGCAAAGCTGATTAAAGTTTTCACTATGACAGCTTTCTGATCTAATCATGGCATGCAACCTCTCAAGGAAGGAAAAACTTCCTTTCTACGGTGTAGAAAGTAATCATTATGCTAAGAACCATGGCTGAAAACCAACTTAATTTACGAAAAGTAACCCTAACTCTCCAAATGAGAAGTGTTTTCTTATTAGAATTCATTGTTGTCGATAGGTTCCTTCCTTAGAAGTTGTTGCTGCCAGTGATTTTGCCCTATTTAATGTGATGGAGGCAAGTGATGGAGGCAAGCGGTTGTTAAAATACCACCTCATAACCCGGAAGTTACAATGAGCTCTCTGGCTTCTCTTATCTGGGTGCGCCACCTATTTAAGAGAACTGGTGGATATAAAGTCTTCGCCCTAAGCGTAGATGCCTGTCACACAGGTGGGCATGGCAGTCCATCACAAAGACTCTGATATGTCATTCATTCATAACCAGTCGAGCTTGGGAATCTTTTCCACTTTGTTCGTTTTAATTATCACAGAAAATACTAAAAGTACAATCCTTCATTTACACTGCCATTAAAATGTTTTAGGTATTCAATCATAATAACTTCATAGTCATATACTCATTACGCAGCGGGACCTGCTTTTTAAAGCATTTTCTATCGCCTGGCAAGGGTTAGGTACCCTGTCTCAGACCATCCCGGTTGTCACTGGCAAATAGGAGACCTGGGCTGGGTCACCCTGATACTAGGCTGTTGTGAATTTCACGGCTTGCTCTTCTCTGCATTTCAAAAATTCTACCACTATGGGGCACATTTCTTCTCTATCCCATTCATTTAAAAAGTGGGAGTGGGGAACTTTTAAGAATATATAGAAATCCAAAAAAATTTTCTTTAATGCAGTAGAAAAAAAAATCTCCTATTATCCTACAAATGAAAAACAAATTCTGTTAACATAGAAATAATATTTCCCTAGTCTTTTTCCAAAATATTTAAAAATATAGTTGCATTAAAAAAATATATAGTTGCATCATACATTGTTTTATCCAGGTTTTTCACTGAAGACAAGTACAAATTACATAGCAATTTTACTAAGTAAACATTATTTTAATGTAATTGTAAATTCTTTCCCTCAACAAATATCTATCATAACAATGTTTAGTTAAATCCGTGAGTCTTACAATAGAAGCCCATAATGCTTATTAGGCAGTTCTTAATTCTTCAATATTACACATTGTGCTGTGAACATCTTTTCAATGAATACCCCAATTTTGTATTATTTCTTTTTTTTTTAAGATTTTATTTATTTATTTGACAGACAGAGACCACAAATAGGCAGAGAGGCAGGCAGAGAAAGAGGGGGAAGCAGGCTCCCTGCTGAGCAGAGACCCGATGCGGGGCTCAATCCCAGGACCCTGAGATCATGACCTGAGCTGAAGGCAGAGGCTTAACCCACTGAGCCACCCAGGCACCTCTGTATTATTTCTTTAGAGTAAATTTCTAGATATGGAATTATTGATCCAAAGAACATGAGCATTTTTAAGTTGTTTTACACACATTACTTTACTTTTATTTAATTTTTTAAAAAGATTTTATTTATTTATTTGACAGAAAGAGAGAGAAGCAGAAGCAGGTTCCCTGATGAGCAAGGAACTCGATCCACACCCCAGTTGTGACACCAAAAATGTCTCCAAATGCAGCCAGATGCCCCCTGGAGGGCAAGATCGCCCCCCTGTGGAGAACCAGTGTATCAAAGCAACTCTAGCTTGGTTTTTGTTTTTTAACCTGCTTTAAAAAATTATAAATTCACAAAGGAAAATACTCAAATAGTATTAAATAAGCTGGGTTTTTATTTTTTATTTTATTTTTTAAGGATTCTAAGTACATCCACTGTGGGACTTGAACTCACAACCCCAAGATCAGGAGTCACATGCTCTACCAACTGAGCCAGCCAGACACCCTTACACTGTTTTTTAATATTAAAAAAATAGTAATAGTAGTATTAAAATGCACATTTCCATTCTACCTCATCCCATCCCATGCCCCAAAGGAGTCCTGATTTAACCATTTCTATACATATATTTTTAAAGATTTTATTTTTTTAAGACTTTATTTGAGTGAGAGAGAGAGAGAGCACAAGCCGTGGGAGGAGCAGAGGGAGAGGGAGAAGCAGACTCCCTTCTGAGCAGGGAGCCCGATGTGGGGGTTGGTTCCAGGACCATGACCTGAGCCAAAAACAGATACTTAACCAACTGAGCCAGTCATGCACCCCTAAAGATTTTGTTTTTAAGTAATCTCTACAAATGATGTGGGGCTCAAACTCACAACTGGAGATCAAGAGTTGCATCCTCTACCAACTGAGCCATCCAGACGTCCCCAACCATCTCTATATTTTAATTTTAAATTAATTTCAATGTGTGTCAAACTTACATGTTTTTAAAAAGTCAAATAATGGTAAAAACTTTTAAGTAAAGGTCATAAGTTTCCTTCCCTACCCTTTCCCTCTGAGGTAACCACTTCCAACCTTTTAATTGTTTCTTTTGATATTTTCTTCCATATCTCTAGCTGATACAATAGTCCTGCTATCTCCTGAGTCATCAAAATGAAATATTACCTACTGACTTTTTATTATGTAGACAGTATCATATTCTTATACACCCATTTTTATTTCTGTTTTGTTTTACTCATTTTCTTGTATTTTTTAATCCCTAAATCTTCCCAACCTCCAGTGATTTCTCCAGTTGGTTAAATATATGAGATAATATATTAGTTCCATTGCTTTCCTGGAAATCCCCATTATCCTGCTCTTCTCCCCTCCCCCACCCCAAATTATCTCAGCTCTTTGTTCCCTAGACTTGATACGTGGCTGACACCTTGGAACTTGCCTTCTCCATAATACCAATGATTCACTATCTCTTGTGTTAGAGTCCAGATCCCCTGCATCATGGTCCAATTTTCCTTCTTTATTTTTATCTATTCCCTTAATTTTTTTAATTTTTTATTTTTTTTTTAAGAGCTTATTTATTTATTTGACAGAGATCGATCACAAGTAGGCAGAGAAGCAGGCAGAGAGAGAGAGAGGGAAGCAGGCTCCCTGCTGAGCCACCCACATGCCCCACCCTTAATTTTTTTTAAAGATTTCATTTTTTTAAAATAATCTCTACACCCACCATGGAGCTTGAGCTTACAAACCCAAATTCAAGGGTCACATGCTCTACTGACAGAGCCAGCCAGCTGCCCCTCTATTCCCTTAATTTAATAGGGCACATAGTAGCTTCCTTAAAAGGTATTTGAGAAGTAAAATGCTTCAGTGTTAAGTATGTCTGAAAAATTTCTTTATTCAACTCTAATACTTAATTGATAGTTTGTCTGGATATAGAATCCGAGGCTGGGAACAATTCTTTTCTCAGGTATTTGAAAGCATATGCCTCCCCTTGCCATTACCTTCAATTTAAGTGTAGCAAACATTCAGAAAAGTGCATAGATCTGTAAATTTTTATAAACTGAACACATTTGTGTAACCAGGACCCAGATCAAGTAAAAGAATTCTTAGATATAACATGAGAATTAAGACCCATAAAAAATAGATGAATTGATTTTCATCAAAATGAGAAACTTTGGGGGGCGCCTGGGTGGCTCTGTTGTTAAGCATCTGCCTTCAGCTCAGGTCATGATCCCAGGGTCCTTGTTGATTAAGCCCAGTGTCCAGCTCCCTGCTCAGTGGGAAACTGGCTTCCCCCCTGCTTCTCCCTCTCTCACTCCCCCTGCTTGTGTTCCCTCTCTTGCTGTGTCTCTGTCACATAAATAAATAAAATCCTTAAATAAATAAATACAAAAAAACTTCTGTTTGATGAAAGCCAAGTTACAGAGATGAAAATAACAAGCCAGTTCTTCCTATTGATTAGTAGAAAATATTTGCAAATCACATATCCAGAATACATAAGGAATTCTCTAAACCCAACGGTAAGAAAACAAACCAATCAGAAAACGAAATATCAAAAAAAGTTCAAACGATTTATGCTAATGGGGAATAGTAAACCTATGAAAAAATGTTCAACGTCATTAGGGAAGTGCAAATTAAAACCACAATGAGAGACCACCATACATCTATTAAGACGGTTAAAATAAAAAATACTGATAGTGCTAAATGCTGGCCAGGGGACAGAAAAACTGGACATTTCATTCATTGCTAGTGGGAATATAAAATGATAGAGGGGTGCCTGGGTGGCTCAGTGGGTTAAACCTCTGCTTTCGGCTCAGGTCATGATCTCAGGATCCTGGGATCCAGTCCCGCATTGGGCTCTCTTCTCAGCGGAGAGCCTGCTTCCCCCTCTCTCTCTGCCTGCCTCTCTGCCTACTTGTGATCTCTCTCTGTGTGTCAAATAAATAAATAAAATCTTAAAAATAAAAAAAAAATTACACAGACATTTACCATATGACCCAGTAAATGGATTCTTGGACATGTATCCTAGAGAAATGAAAGTGTATATTTATACAGAAATCTATTCACAATTGCTCATAGTTGCTTTATATATAATAGGTCAAAACAGGAAACAACCTAAATGACTCTCAACAAGTGAATAGTTAAGTAAACTGTGAATATCTGTGCCATAGAATACTACTCAGCAATGTAAAGAAACTTGATAGGACTTGGGTCTATCTCAAGAGCATTATGCTGAGTAGAAAAAGCCAATCTGAAAAGTTTTTATGTATGGTAATTCCATTTATATGACGTTCTCAAAATGACAAAATTATGGAGATGGAGAACAGATCAGTGGCTGATCAGTGGCTGCCAGGGGTTAGGGAAGGGAAGAGGGTGTGGCTATGAAGCCACCCTTGTGGTGGCAGTTTCGAATTTTTGATTCTGGTGATTCAGGGGATGAACCATCACAGAACCAGGGGTGCCTGGGTGGTTCGGTTGGTTAGGTGACCTAGTCTTTGTTTCGTGTCCAGTCATGGTCTCGGGGTCATGGGATTAGCCCCCATGGGACTCCCCGTTCAGCATGGGGACTCACTTTCTAAAACAAATAAATAAATAAATAAAATCTTAGGGAAAAAAAGGAAATGTCACAGAATTGTATACTCAGACACACAAAAACAGAGAAAGAAAGAAAAAAGAATGTATGTAAATTCTAGTGAAATCCAAGCAGGGTCTGTAGTTTAGTTAATTGTAATGGATCAATGTCAACTTCCCAGTTTTGACAATCTGCTATAGTTATGATAATAGTTCCCATTGGGGGACGCTGGTGAAGTTTACACAGGATGTCTTTGTACTATTTTTATAAGTTCCAATAAATCTGTAATTATTTCAAAACAAGAAAGTTTGGTTTGGTTTTGTTTTTTTTTTAAGATTTTATTTATTTATTTGAGAGAGAGAGAATAAGTCAGGGGGAGGGGCAGAGGAAGAGGGTGAAGCAGACTCCTGGCTAAGCAGGGAGCCCTACATGGGGCTCATTCCCAGGACCCTGGGATCATGGTCTGAACTGTAGGCAGAAACTTTACTGAGCAGAAACTGAGCACCTAGGCGTCCCAAGAAGTTTTTTCAAATTAAATTTTTGGTTTTTGTTTTCTTTGTTGTTTTGGGATGATTTTTCAAAGGAGAAAGGGACTGAAAGTTCTTTACTCCACCATCTTCAAAAGTCCTTATTATTGTTTATAAATATTATACTCCATACCTCATTAACTTTTTTTTTAAATAAAGATTTTACTTATTTATTGGACAAAGAGAGAGAGAGAGCTCAAGCAGGGGGAGCAGCAGGGGGAGAAGGGAAGCAGGCTCCCTGATGAGCAGGGAACACGACACTGGGCTCCATCTCAGTACCCTGGGATCATGACCTGAGCTAAAGGCAGAGGCTTAACCAACTGAGCCACCCAGGCACCCCCCTCATCAACTTTTAAAAATAAACAATTTGTGGCCATATTTTTTCCTACCAACAAAATATAGGGTAGCAATATTTTTAACTGTCCGGGCTATGTTAATTTTCATAAAAACTGAAAAGGTACAAATGAGTACACAGTGCAAAGTTTGTCTCCAATTCTCTCCCTGTAGGCAACAACTGTTACCAATTTATTGTATATATTGTGTATCAGTCCACAGTTTTCTATGTATTACACTGTTACTAGTACTGTTACTGAACTGTGAGGGACTTTTTGTGGAGTCATTCATCATGGCAGGGGATTGTTGGGGTGTGGTGGTGACTGTGGCCAAGAGGGAGCACCTTCTTTGTGGTAGCCTCTGATGGATTTGACATGATCAGATTAATGGTCTTCTCTTTTTCCACATTTACACACATATACATAAACTATATTTTATTATTTAATATGGATCCAATATTCTGTGGTATTAGGTATACACACACACAATGCACAAGACTCCAAACTGACTAGCTAATTACTGCTCTGAAATTAAACCTGTGGAACACTGTCTTTTTTTTTTTTTTTTTTTTTTTAGTTATTTATTTATTTGACAGAGAGAGATCACAAGTAGGCAGACAGGCAGGCAGAGAGAGAGGAGGAAGCAGGCCCTCTGCTGAGCAAAGAGCCCGATGTGGGGCTCGATCCCAGGACGCTGGGATCGTGACCCGAGCCAAGGGCAGAGGCTTTAACCCACTGAGCCACCCAGGCACCCCGGAACACTGTCTTATTAAATGTGCTTTCAATTACTTTGTGATTACATTAAAAATATAATTGTAATGTACGATTGTTACAAAATAGTCAAGCAATACAAATGAAGTTGTCGATGGAGTAGGTTATTCATTTTTTGTTAGTTTCTTTGAAGAAAAAACATCTTACCTCGCTGCTGCTGATGCTTTGCAAGATTATATTTTGGTTTGTAGTAACTGTCCTCGTATCGGGGGGAGAAGAGTTTGTATCATGACAAATGTCAAGCAATGATTCAGCATGTCTTTCTGCCAAAAGAAACAGGATAATGTGTTTTGATAAGACTCATCTCTCTCAATTTCATAGGAAGATCTAGATCTTGGTTCTAAAACCAGTTCCATTTTGTCAAAGACTTTCCTAAAATCATGATTTGGGATCCTGATGAGGCTTCAGGCAATAATTATCACAGGAAAGGGTATGAGGACAAGAGTCTACAGAATGGATGGGTTTTTGCTTGCTTAAAAAACAAAAGTTAGGCAAAGTTGCTAAGTGAAACCCCCTAGTAATGGGCTAGAAATTATATCTGTTCTGTAGTTACCAAGACCAGGCACATTTTCTGTCTAACACTTGAAGCCCGATTAAATTGGCAGAGTTCTGAACACCAAACGGTAAACTCCCAGTTAGTTACTGAGGGACTGTGGTCTTATATGCATCCCCTCCTGCTATCATAACTTTTTCAAATAAGGGCAGGCTCTTTGATGAAAACGTCTTCCTCTTCCAAGATCTATTCCAGTTATTTTGTAACTGATACAAAATTGCACAAGGTTTATCTCTGCTCAGACCCTCCATATTTTCCTTCCTTACTCCATGCAGTCTTCTGCCTCTATCCTATCACTAAAACTTCACACTTCCTTACCACATCTGCTTTGCAACCTCTTTTCCAAGTTGGTATTTTCCCACACCTTGCTTCTTGCAACTCTCCCCAGTTCCTTCTTCTCTGTCTCACTGCCCTTGGGTCCCTAAGTGCACACCACTCCCTAACTGTGGGAATACTTGCTCAGCTCAGCCCTTTGCAATCCTCCGGTGATCTTACCCGCTTGCAGATCCTCACAATTCCCTTTTTGTAGTGAACTCCCAAACAATACCAACTCATCCCCTCCCATGGCCCTGTCCTATAGAACATTGTTACTTGAAAGGTAAGGTTCCAACAAACGCAGTGCCTTAGAACTCATTACCTTCAATATCCTCACCAAACAAGAGTGGTCTTCTCTTTTGTTGATTGTCTTTCCATCCCCCACCCTCCTTCCCTGGGCTGAAACTTTGGAATCAAATTGAACTCTCCTGACTTTTGTCTCCATCAGATTTACATCACTAAATGCTGTGAATTTTTCTTCCACAATAGCTCTTAGAGTCACTGCACCCAGCACCTGGAAGGCGCAGTCCCACACCAAACCCAGGACTCTTCTCTGGCCATTGTCACCACACACGCACTTCTGTACTCTCTTAATAGAGCTCCCCGCCATGAATCTCTTCCTTCGAGTCCACTCTACACAATAACAACAGCTTAATTTTCCTAAAACATGGCTTTCACCACTCACTGGCTTAAACTTCTTTAGCAACTCTATTTTATTGAAAAAAATCTGCATTCAATCGTTCTTCAATGGACCCAGTTTCTTTAGGTATCTAATCTTACTATGTATTCCTGCTCCCCAACACGAACTTCCTAGTGTCTTGTTTGCCCCTGGGATAAGTGAGGCTCACTTACACCATGATGCCTCTGCTCTACAAAATCAGATCCCATCGCTTTTCAAGGACCAGATTGTGTTTCACTTCTATCATGGAATGGCCTTGTTCCCAGCCCAGAAGCTTCAGTCAGACAAGAAAGTCAACCAGCTTTCACAAGGTCACATGTTACTCAATGAAACTTCTTTCATTTTACTTTTTTCTCTGTGACTATTTCTATTTCTTTGTTCAGACTCTCTCTCCCTACCTATATCAACCTTGTATCTTTTTCTCTTCCTTCCAAATCTTTTTTTAAGGATTTATTTCTTTATTTTGAGAGAGAGATAGAATGCAAACAAGCAGGGGAAAAGGGGAGAAAATCTTTCAAGCAGACTTCCCACCAAGCTAGGATGCCGAGGTGGGGTTCGATCCCACAGCCCATGAGATCAGGACCTGAGTAGAAACCAAGAGTTGGATGCCCAACTGACTGAACTACCCAGGTGTCCCTCTCTTCCCTCCAAATCTTATCTAGCATTTAAGGACCATGGTATGTCCCTTCTCCTCTTTCAAGCTCATGAAAATCTCTTTCTCTCCTGACTTACATGATGTGTCCCTGACCAAACTAAATACTTTCAGGAGTTTGGACCATGTCTTGGATTTCTTTGCATCCCCCAGAATACCTAGTCATGGGCCTTGTATATAGTCACTGCTCAATAAATTGCTGCTGCCTTGATATCTTTATTTTTTTTTTAAGATTTTATTTATTTATTTGAGAGAGAGAGGGCATGAGAGGGGGGAGGGTCAGAGGGAGAAGCAGACTCCCTGCTGACCAGGGAGCCCAATAGGGACCTCCATCCCAGGACTTCAGGATCATGACCTGAGCGGAAGGCAGTTGCTTAACCACCTGAGCCACCCAGGTGCCCTGCCTTGGTATCTTTAAATGAATCCATCAAATACACGTTAAAAAAGGAAGATTTTTAATAAGGCTTTTCAATAACGGGAATTTTGAAAGTGGAATAGAAGTACTTACCTGGTTTTGGCATAGAATTCATTAGAATGTCCAGTAACTGTTGTTTCCTAAAACTTTGTATTTGTGACACATAATGTATTGCTGATTTTCCACTAAAATCACAGAGTTTAGGATCTCTAGGAAGAATAAAATCACATAAAAGATAATTCAGTTAAATCTATTGAGGAAAGAACCAATATAAGAAGAAAAACATTGACATCAAATAAATAAAAGCAATCATGTAGTTTGGAGCTGACAACAATAACTTCAAAATGTAAGAGAGAGTGACATTTTTAAGTAAAAGGATTATGTTGGATATCTTATTTCTACTCCCAACCTAAAAAATTCCAATATTTGTAGAAAATGTCCAACTTTGGGCAAAAAATTTCATAATTCTTTAATGATGAGTAAATTAAGTGAAGATTGAAACATCCTGATAAACTATTGTCTTATCATTCCAAATAGCTGACTTGATTGCTTTTTTCCTTTCCAATGATTTAGCTAACTGCTTACTTTCTTGATAGTTCTTTTTTTTTTCTAATGCTAACAGCTAGCTTTTACCACTCAAAATAGTAGAATGGCATAGAATTAAGCTGATATGTTTATTTTACAGACTCTGGTTGAGTGGATTGGATCTTGTCATAAAATCCCTCTGCATAATCTTTTCATTTCTCTTTGCCTTGCTCTATGATTGTTAAGCCCACTGACTGATCTTAGCACTCCTTCAAAAGCACAAACATCCTCTCTATGTCGTACTGAATCCTAGGATTAGACATCAGCTCAGAGAGATCCAGAAGGTAAATGATGAGAGCCCTGTTGACAGATTAGGGAGAGGGAAACAATGATTATACTTGCTTTGCTAGTCACAGTCTAGGAAAAGGAACGCATCAGTCGTGGTCTCCAATGTAACAGCTTTGAATATGAATCTCCTTATTGCTACGGGACAGGTTTTTTTGTTTTTGTTTTTGTTTTTGTTTTTTCATGGGACAGGTTAATGTTTTATCATCTGCAACAATAATCTCTTACAGCTTTTTCTATATTGAAGGTCATGATTCAAAAAAATAGCTTAGGACCCAGAATCAGGGGACAGCACTGCCTTGATATGTGGCCATAAGTCATTTAACTCATTGGGACTTGAGTTTGCTCGTTTTCCTTGATTAGTGTTTCTCAATGTGGTGTTTTTTGATTTCCTGTATTCTGGACCCCACTCCAGGCCTACTGAACACCATCTTCGGAGTCGTGTCCGGTACTCTCCATGTTAAACAATCTCAGTGGTTTCTTAACACTAAAGTCTATGGTAGCTTCAAACTTCCATCTTCATCCTATTATACTAACTGATCCTTTTACAATAGCTAATGTTCTTAACTCTACTTTTGTTCTTGAAACTCCCTTTCCTCTTTTATTCCTAAAACAAAATTCATATGAAGTACTGAATGAATTTTGTCCATCTGTTCTTATTGGATGACAAGATATCTAGGTAATGGTGCTGGGAAACTACAATTCTAACATGAAAAACTGTTTTTTAATCCTCTGATTAAAAAAAAAAAAAGCTAATTGTTTACTTTCCCTCTTCCTAAAGAGCATTTTGGCATACAGCAATTTTTAGATAACTGGAAATCAAAATTGCTTTTGATAACTGACAATGCTTTCTGAAATAATTAGTAACATTTTGGGGGTAGGGAGCTGCCTACTCAAGAAGTATTTGACACTCCTCATAACTACCAAAAGATTATTTAAACAAATGGTCAACATCATAAGAATAATAGATAGCAACATCTAACATCTATATATCACTTTGCAACTGCTAAGTCCCTTTTATGACCATATATGTGCATTCAATTCAATATAATTTTTTTTAAGATTTTATTTTTAATTCATCTCTACACCCAACATGGGACTTTAACTTACAACTCCGAGATAAAGAGTCACAGTCTACCTACTGAGCCAGCCAGGTTCCCCAATATGTAGAATTTTAAAAAGCAATCTATATGCCCAGATTTACAAGTGACTTCTGAAAATAACAGTGACACAAGACGCCCTTCCACTGATGCTGACTGACCACTCATACTCACGCGTGATGCTGGAGGAGCTCAGACAGAACCTCCACAGGTCTGTAGGCTGTTGACATATCGAGACTCTCGAACAGATCCACATCCCTCACAGCCAGCATCAGAGGGGTCAAGCCATGTTGGTTTGGGAAATTTATATCCAGGAGCTCTTCAGATGCCTTTAAAAACAAGAAGCTTTATTTCTGTTTTGTTTTTAGTGTTTGTCTATTTATACCAATCTTTGCATTTTCCTTGTTTAGCCAAATTTTCATTTTCACTTCAATACATTCTTTCTCAGCATCTATATTGAGGAGGAGCTGATGAAATTACACAGGCCTGAGAGCCAGACAGAATTGGGTTTGAATTTTACTTCCTTAAACTCATTCTTTAACTTTCCTGATAGGATTATCAAGAACACTTGATAAAATCACACTAATAAAATAAGGGACATCCAGTTAAGCAATGAATAATTTTCATGGGGGACATAATCATATTAAAAGATTTATTTGGAAAAAAATTTGTTTGGTATTTATCTGAAATTCAAATTTAATTGAAAGTCTTGTATTTTTTGTTTGCAAAATCTGGGAATCCTACTCTCTGACCTTCAGAATCCTCAGCTGTCAGTAGGAAAAACAATGTCTTTTCTGTGGAGTTGTTTTTGTTAGTTTGTTTTTTAAGATTTTGTTTATTTGAGAGAGTGAGCAAGAGAGAGAGAGCATGAGCTGAGCCAAGGGACAGGTAGAGGGAGAAGGAAGGCAGACTCCCTGCCTCTGTGGGGTTGTTTTGATGGTTGGAGACAGAATATGAAAAGCACTGAGTAGAGTTTGACACGTGCTCAATAAACATTTGTGGAATGAATGAATGATCCGCAATAAGAATGTAGCTCACTTAACCGTCTATGTACAGTCAAATGGAGGTGGGTATATAGGTGATATTTGTTGTTTTAATGAAAATGGAACTTAATTTGGATAATTCACAACTGAAAAACCACTGTAAGGCCAAAGTATCCAAATTGCTTATTTTATAGACCAAAGCAACTCACTAATTTCCACTCTATTTCACTTTATGCCATATCAGTATAGTCAACGTTTCTACCTCACTTTCTCTAGGGACAAACTAGAGATAATGATATTACCTCAGAGGGGTGCTGTGGGAATTAATTAGTTAATATTTTTTTCAGTCTCTGAAAAGAAGCTACCTCTTATGTCAATGTTTATTCTTAGTTAGAACCAACATGAAAGGTTTGAGCTGAGAATAGTCTTACAATAGCACTTTAATTCACCATCTGCTTATTAAGTTCTGGATTCAGTTATAGGCACCAGTTTCTTAAAAAGTGGCTGCTAATATTTAGGGTGAAAAAATGTGGTTATGAAAACATATTGTATCATAACAACCATTACAAATACCATTGAAATAAAATTATTGTCTTTCAAAAGTGTTCTAAACTTCAGTTATGACATATGGCAATTTTAGACTATAGTTTAATACAACAAAAGAATTTAGAGAGTCCTTTGAATTTTGTTGTAGATTTCCTTGAACTCTAGGCGACAGAATTCTGTTCACTTTCTCTTTATCTGTTTGTATCTCTACCATATGGGACTGGAAGAAACTGTTTCCTAGCAGCAATTGATTTTCTTTCAGTTGGAAGGTCATGTGATCTGAAAGTGTCTCTGAAGGTAAATACCAAGAATAGACAGTTGCGGTCACCAATAATTAAAGTCCCTGGTTATGCATATGGTTTCGTAAGTTACTTTGGGAAAGCATGTCTGTGGCTAGAAGATCTAAACAAGAAGATCAATACCCAGAGAAGAAAGCACTTAAAAAACACACCCTCTTAACTCCTCTAGTTACAACTAAATATTATGCAAAGCAGAGGCTCTCTGATTCCCTTTTCAGGATAAAGATAATAAGTGCAACTGGTCCAAAGGGATCTAAACAGCAATTGCACAAATGGCAATGATGTCAAGGGAGCTCCTCTGAGCAAGTTGACAGCCGTTCTTTAGGGACATCCTGGGAGCATATCATTTCCCGTGGGTGCTGCGTGACTTCTAACATCCAGCTGGAGGAAGGTGGAAACAGGCTGCTGCTGTGTTCTCTTATTACCCTGTTTTCCACCCTAGTATCCTCTTCGATCCTGTTTCTTTCCCCTATACTCTTCCTGAAGCTTTCTGGGACTGCATTTGAAAATAACTTATTTTTCTTTAAAAGGAGTCCTATATGGTCTAGGCTTTTCTTACCATTTACCCACCCAAAGGCAGAAGCAAACATCAATTTAACTGACCAGCAAGTGTTGAAGTTGTTCAAGATCACCTTGCCATGAACTTTGTAGAAGTTGCATTTGGGGAGCCTGGATTCCACTGATGGCCAAGAGTAGTCTTCGCACATGGCAATTAGCCACATGAACTGCAGTTTGATTGCTATAATTACAAAGGGTGATATCTGCTCCCTTTTCCAGAAGGAATTCAACAACCTGCAACATCACAACATTCAATTCAACAACCTGCAACATCACAACATTCTTATTTACATTTTTGAATGCAAACAGTATCTTCAGGGCTACTCAAAACTTAGACATGGCTTTGACTCATGATGTAGGAAAGGAGAATAAGAGGGGCATAAAAATGGAGAATTGATTTGAACTCCGATGACTGCTATTTGCCTTTTTTAAATTAGGAAAACAAAAATCTCCATGACACGGATGGTTTGGGGATATTATTCTTTTCTTTTTTAAGGTTTTATTTTTAAGTAATCTCTATACCCAACACAGGGCTTGAACTCACAACCCTGAAATCAAGAGTCACATGCTTGTGGTGTCTGAGTCCTTCGGTTGGTTAAGCATCTAACTTTGGCTTAGGTCATGATCTCAGGGTCCTGGAACTGAGCACTGCATTGGGGTCCATGCTCAGCCTGGAGTCTGCCTCCCCCACCAAATAAATAAAATCTTAAAAAAAAAAAAAAAGAAAGAAAGTCACATGCTTTACCGCCCAGGCACTCCTTGGAGATACTATTCTTTTCTTAAAATTAGAAGTTTGTGAATATATTATGTTAAACCCACATAAAGTATCAAAGTCCTATTAGTATGATCTGTAATTTAATATGCAAAACCCAGGGCTCCTAGGTGGCTCAGTCAATTAAATGTCTGCCTTTGGCTCAGGTCATGATCGCAGCATCCTGGGATAAAGCCCTGTGATGGGCTCCCTGGTCAGCAGGTAGTCTGCTTCTCCCTCCCCTTGCTCTTGCACTCTCTCTCAAATAAATAAAATCTTTTAGAAAAAATAAAATATAAACCCCAAATTTAGACAAACATTCTCGAAAGTTGCAAGTATTTCCATAAGTATTTCTAGGAAGCAAATAAATGCTATTCAAAATGTTGACGCATAATTTATTCAACAAATGGGATGGAGTGATTAGCATGAGTCAAGAACTGTCCTTGGTGCTGAGGCTCCAACTGTGAACAAGACAGGGACCAGCCTTTAAGGCATTTACAAACTAATGAGGAACAGAGACAGATAAAAAAGCAATTGTGACATAGTGTGAGAAATAGAGTAATAGGGTAAATATAGAAGAGTGAAGGTGTCACTTAGAAGAAATGAATTAAGCTGTCTCATTGGGTCCAGGAAGACTTTGTAGAGAAAATGTCTAAGCTGAGAACTGAGGGATCAGACTCAATTAACTAGGCAAAGACTAGGGGAAAGATTGTTTGAAGCAAAGGATATAGTGTAAACAAAGTACTGTGGATGCTATGGACAGAATTATTTCTCCTCAAAATTCATATGTTGAAGCCCTAAACTCCAATGTGACTGTATTTAGAGAGGAGACCTCTAGGAAGTAATTAAGGTTAGATTAGGTTCTAGAAATGGGGCCCTGATCTGATAGGACTAGTGTCATTATAAGAAGAGACATAAGAGAACTTGTTCTCTTTCTCTCTGCCAAGTGAGGACACAGAGAGAAGGTGGCCATCCATAAGACAGGAAAAAAACCTCTTGCCAGAAACCAAATTGGCCAGAATCTTGATATTGGACTTCCCAGTTCCCAGAACTATGAAAAAATTAAATTCTATTATTTAAGCTACTCAGCCATGGTATGTTTGCTACGGAAAGCCCAAGATGACTAATACAGAGGACAAAAGAACAAATAACATTCAAAGCTCCGGAAGACTAAATTAGACATGGCTGGAGCTCAAGATGGAGGATGGAGGGTAAAGAAATGTGATGGAGAAGTCAACAGTAGTGAAATCCTAAAAGGCTTTACCAACTCCCTTTAGGAATTAGAGTTGTATCTTCAAGACAATGGGAAGCCAGTGAGAGATTTTAAACAGAGAGATGACATGATCAAGTCAGCACTTAAAAAAAATCACTGTGGGAAGAACGAAAGTCAGGAGACCAATGAGATTACCCAGTGGCCTCATGGAGAGAAAATAGTACTAAATCAGGGAAGTGGTAGTAGAAATGGAGCAACTGAGGGCACAATCCAGGAACATTTAGGAGGTGGAACTCATTAGATGTGGATGTTGATGGTGAGCCAGAAATCAAGATAATTCCCAGGTTTTTCACTTCAGTCCATTTTTGTCTAGCTTCCCTACTACCACTGAGGACAAGGCCACAGTGATCTTTGGCCTGAAACAATGCAACAACCTTCTAATAGATCTCTCCACTTCCAAATACCTTTGTCTGAAACCCATTACAGTGGTTACATTCAAAAAGTCAAAAAGTAGTAAGTGTTGACAAGGTTCTGAAGAAATAAAAATCCTTACACTCTGTTGTAAATGATATAGCCACTTTAAAAACCATTCTGGCAGATCCTCAAATGATTAAGCATAGAGTTCCCATATGACCCAGTAATTCCACCCCTAGGAAGATGAATGAAAGAGAATTTGAAGACATATGACCACATTAACACTTATACACAAATGTCTGTGGCAGCCTTTTTCATAGTAACCAAAACAGGGAAACAACTCAAGTTTCCGTCAATGGACAGATGAACAATGAAAATGTGGTATACCCATATAACCCAATATTATTCAACTATGAAAAGGAAGGAAGTGCTGATACATGCTGCAACATGAACCTCGAAAACAGTATGCTAAGTAGAAGAAGCCAATCACAAAAGACCACATGCCGCCTGATTCCATTTACATGAAAGTCCAGAATAGGAAGATCTATAGAGACAGAAAGTAGATTAGTGATTGCTTAGGGCTAGGGCAGGGAAAAGGAGGAAAGATAGAAACTGATAGTTAAAGGGTTCAGAGTTTCTTTTGCGGGGAAAGAGGTGAGTAGTTCTTTTTAAGATGACGAATATGTTTTAAAATTGACTGTGGTGATGATTGCACATTCATATGAATAAACTACAACCCACCTTAAATGGGTAAATTGTATGAAATGTGAATTATATCTCACTAAAGCAGTTTTAATTTTTCTTATTTTTATTTTTTTAAAGATTTTATTTATTTATTTGACAGACAGAGATCACAAGTAGACAGAGAGGCAGGCAGAGAGAAGGAAGCAGGCTCCCTGCTGAGCAGAGAGCCCGATGTGGGGCTCAATGTGGGGATCGATGTGGGGCTCGATCCCAGGACCCTAGGATCATTACCAGAGCGGAAGGCAGAGGCTTTAACCCACTGAGCCACCCAAGCACCCCACACTAAAGCAGTTTTTTAAAAAATACCTTTTCATGCCTTGTGGTCTTGCAGGATTTGGGCCCTGCCATTTTCCAACCTCATCTTGTGCTAATCTTCCCCTTCCTCTGCAAGTTCTAGTCATCTTTTTACCTCAAATATGCAAGTTTTTTCCTAACCAAGAAGCTTTATCTCTGTTATCCCTACTTCCCCAATTGTTCTTCAAATGTCATCCTTTATCATTATTTTAGTTTTAACGTAAATGTAACCATATCAGTGAAGATTTTCCTGACCATCTTATCAAACAAGGAATCACTCTATTGGTTACTTCAAAGCACTACCAGTAATTTGTAATGTAATTAAGCATTTTTTGTTTCCTTATTTGTTGTGTTTCACCTTCATTAGAATGTAAGTCCACCTTATGAGAGCTCTTACCGCATGAATAAATGTTTTAGGAATGAGTGAGTGAATGATTTAAGATAAACAGATGCTGACTCTACCTAACAAAATGGAAAGCACTGATGCTGGTGCTCCTCAGGAGAATTAGATTTGGAGAGAAAAACAATGAAGACAATGTGGATATGCTATGTTTGAGATCTGTGACATGGAAGTAGAGATATATGGTTAGAAGCTCAACATTATACACACAGAGAGAGAGAAGAATTCAAGTGAGATATGTGGGCTGAGATTCAGAATTAGGAGCCATCCCAATATTATTAAGGACCACCAATGTTAAGGACATTACAAGTCACATCACCAAGAGCGGTTTCAATGGACTGGTAGAGAACAATGCCAGACGGCAGTAGTTTGAAGAGGTGAGAAAGTGGAGGCAGTGAGGATTGACCAGAGGAATACTCTTTAGAGGGGCTGTTGGAAGACAATTCTCTAGAAACTCCAGGAACTTGTGTTTTTGTAGGTCTTGTGAGCAAAGGTGCTCACAGAGGTGAGCTTTGTTCCAGACCATGTTTTCAAAGATGTTTATACAGTGAATGGCTCTGTAAGATAGAGACAGCGTCTCTTTCTGGAACATTGGGAGCATTGGGAAAACGTGCTTACTGTCTACTGTAAAAGACTCAGGTTTCCTAAGCTTAGGTTTCCCATCTTTTATTCAACCCACTGCATGTACAGTTATCGCTTCCTTATGTTGGCTTGTGGAAACTGAAGGGAATGCTGATACTCTGACCATTACTATTGTGAACAGCAAACAGTTATTTTTCTCTGACCCAGGAGTCTCATGTCTTCTGCCAGACTCTGAAGCTGTAGTAGGCTAACTTATTGGGTGACAAGTAAGGAAAAATATCAGATGCTTCGCAGTTACTAATTTCTGCAAAAGATGAGATGATCAGAGAGACAGAAATGATAGATGAACAATGAGGGCTTCATGGGGTAATTAATGAGATTTATAGAAGGTTCATGGGAAGTGGTAGCAAATATGTTGACCAAATTGTATGGTCAATTGGGCAATAAACGATCCTCCATATTAGTGACTACCAAAGCCTCTTTAAGGAACTGGGAGGCAGTCAAAGTCAGGTGGCTCAGTTGTTAAGCATCTGCCTTCAGACCAGGTTATGATCTTGGGGTCCTGGAATTGAGCCCTGCGTTGGGCTCCCTACTCAGCGGGAAGCCTGCTTCTCTCTTTTCCACTCCCTCTGCTTGTGTTCCCTTTCTCTCTCTCTCTCTGTCAAATGAATAAATAAAATCTTAAAAAAAAAAAAAAGGCTGAGTAACAAGAAATAAGTTCAAAAAACAATTGCTTCCTGGTTTTTAATAATTTTTCTATCGTTGCTATCTTCCTCACCAAACTGGCAGTCGGCCTCAGGTCCATGCCACTATAACAAATAATGCAAGATTTGTCC